GAGGAGATGAAGACTGTGTTTTCAATGTAGAGCTAGGTTATCTGTAGATTTGACCGTGCTACATTAAATTTTAAGGCTTCAAATTAAGTTAAATTTAGCGCGGTTAGATATGACGTCACAGTCGTATATACGAGGCCTGGGCCCCGTTCATCAAAGCGATCTTAGCGCTACGATGATCGTAACCCTATGTTAAAGTATGGGACTTACGATCACCTAAGCGCCAAGATCGCTTTGAGGAACGGGGCCCTGGTCAAAAAGTTCTTTTGAATGTGTTTTATATTTTATTTTTTAAATTATAATCTTCCTGCTTTTCAATACACACTTGAATTAACTCATTACACATTTTTGAGACATCTGATCTTACAAAATGATTATGAAGAAACATTGCAAAATATACGCGATATGGATAGGGAAGCTTTCCAATGCCAGTCGGGAAGAAGTTTTCTGAAGACACCCTGAAAAATCCATTCACGGCAGCTTTGAGGTCATCGTTGTCGTCATAGCGCTTTCCACGAAGGTGTTCTTTCAGTTTAGGAAACAGGTGGAAATCACGTGATGCCATGTCTGGCGAGTGAGGAGGGTGAGGAAGCTTTTTGAACCCACATTGTCGCACAACAGCCTTTGCAAGTCGGTAGGTGTGAGAAGAGGCATTGTCATGAAATAGTAGAATACCAGCGGTCAGCATTCCCCGCCGCTTTTCTTTGATAGAATCTCTCAGGCGATAAAGCAAATCAGCACAGTAGGCACCGGTAATCGTCTTCTGACTTTCTCAGTAATCAACAAGGCTCGCACCCTTTGCATTACAGAATTTCTTTACCGATCTTGAAGACTTAAATTTTTTTGGTGCCGGAGAAGTGGAATGGAGCCATTCCATGGATTGACGTTTTGACTCGGAATCATAGTGGCAGACCCATGTTCCATCACCCGTTACTAATCTCTTTTTGAATATGACGAAATCCTCCTTATTGTGATTTAACCACCTCTATGTGACCAATCAGAATCGAGTACTTTCCACATTCATAGTAGAATTTAGTTTAACCCCTTTGGTAACAATATTCAAGTTGCATCACGGCGAGTCAGCTTAATTTGGAAGCAAATCCCGAAGTGATGCAGGTCCTAGACGTTTACCACTTTGGTAAAATCCACGAGCACAAGTAGTGCCTAAAAACATAATCAGGGCGAACCGGGATTTAAACCCACAATCATCATAGGTTTCTGGCGTGCCAAAGTGACGCAACTCTGCACAGCGAATTGCGGCGCTTTTGACGACTGGGTCACTCGCGCTCTCCTCTTAACAAGACATCAGAATGTATTACATACTTTATATTACATATTGTCAACACAGTCTAAAACGGCTCTTCTTTCTGTGTGTCAAAACTGGTGTAATCAATATGGTTCGGTTTCATATCAGTTGAATTTACATTCCGTCCGCGCCATTTTGGAAATAGGGAAAGCTCTCGCCAAAGACGTTCACGTTAACTGCACGACCCTATAATCACGTGATAGATACTGAAGACGTGAAAATCACCAAGCTCGACTCTGCTTGCATGGTGTGTTAGTGGCAGCTTCGAACCACGGCAAGGTCACCACCAGAACAAGGAAACAAAACCGTGATCAACACACTGCGCGTACCCCTAGCCAGCCATACGGAATGTTATTGTTCAGTGTTAGGATGATTTGGGACACACGAATCAGACGTCAGACACTCTTCAAAGTAGTCGAGAAATCGTCAGTTTGGGGGATTTTATCGAACTGCCGTGTACGTTCTTTCAAAAACAAACACATTCGGAAACGGCGCCACAAATGCGCTTCGTATGGGAAGTTGGTGGCACAGCCGAAGTATCCAACGTTTAAGTCTAGACATCGTTCCAAGTACTAGTATTTAAGACTGAATTCATTTACTCCACGCTGATTTGTTTACATTATTTCAAATTGAAAGTCGCGAACGTGTTCGGGTACACTGCGCCCACAGGGATCCCAATCTATAGGTGGTCGTACAGGACAAATAGATATACCGTAAATCCTTGAATAGATGCCCTACGTTTATTCATTTCGAAAGGTCCCGAGACGTGGCGTTTATACACGGCCCGTGTTTAAAATTTTCAGAAGGGACTTTTACATCAAAGCCTTGTGGGTTTTCCCAAGTTCTGTACCTCAAACTGATACTCAAACTCAAGGTGTCAGTGTAGGGAAGACTAAAATACGACCCGGCGTGTATTCAAGGCAGGGACCGTTGGACCCTGCGTATGTTCAAGCAGGTCCGACTCGGCGTATATTAAAGCAGGGATCGTTTTTCCCGGCGTATATATTCAAGGATTTACGGTAGCTCGATCAATGTATAACTAACATATATAGAATACAAAGCGAATGTGATGCGTGTGAATTTGAAGTCACGGTTATCCAATAAAAACGAATAAAACGAGGTCAACCTTGTACCACACGTGTGACGTACGAAGTTTGTATCTCACTAGCTGTCTCTTGACATACATACACCAACGGGATCGGGTGGTCAGGCTCACTGACTTGGTTGATGCAAGTCATCGTATCCCAATTGCGTGTATCGATGCTCATGATGTTAATCACTAGATTGTCTGGTCCAGACTCCATTATTTACAAACCGCTGCCATATAGCTGAAATATTGCCGAGTGGGGTGTTCAACAACAAACAAACAAACAGTAGGTTTAGATGATGCACATAGCGGTAAATACAGATAAAAGTAACATATGGGTGTTCGCATAGCTCATCTGACCAGTCAACACGAGATACCATTTTGGAAAATTATCCGTTTAATAGTTTGTTATATTTCCGTATTTCAAAATTGATATTATTTCTCATCGCATGTATCTTACTGAAAGTTTGTCGCATGTATCGTAATAAAATATTTGTAACATATTGTTCAATTTCACCATTTTAATTTGTCAGAAAAAGCCTAAACATGATAGACACAATGTTTTTTTATGGATAACAACTTCTTTAATACTGTGAAAAGCGACGTTTCGGTATAGATCCTTATACCGTCGTCAAGCAAGACTGAATGAGGGTTACTTACTTACTTACTTACTTTGGAGATTTAACGTGCGCTTTCCGACTGATGCGTATTTCGCACACGGGCCCGGCCAGGCCATTTAATGTGTTTCCGAAAGGGGCGAAGGTGGTCTGTGCAACCCAAGAGGGGGGTTTTAGGGGTTGCTTATATAGAATTTGGGAATTTTGAGATTTGGAATAGATGCCGATGGGATTGGGGAGGAGAACTAAGGGAGCTGGGTATGGTGGATGTTTGTTTGTTTATGTGATTTTGATTTGGTGAGTTATTGTGTTTTTAGATGCGTTTTATTAGTTCCGTTTTGATTAAGAATACGCCTAAGGCCTTGAAGTTTTCTAGTTTATTTTGTGGGTTTAGTATTGCTTCTAGAGTTAGAGCCTTGTTTAGATTGAGGGTGGTTTGTAATGCGGTTCGATGTGTTAGGTAGTGTGTGCAGTGGATGAGTGCGTGTTCTGGGGTTTCTGGTTGTTTGCAGTGTGGGCAGTTACCTGTAGTGTGTTTTTTAAATTTTTTTAGGTGGTTATTTAGGTTGGTGTGTCCTGTTTGGAGTTTAGTGATTACTCTGTCGATTTTTTTGGATGGATGGAGAATTTTTGGTTTGGTTAGTGGTTTGCTGAGCACTTTTTTGATTTGGCTATTTGAGTTTAGATATAGGTTATGCCATTTTTTGGTGATTTTTTGCTTGTTTACACTTTTAATTTCTGATTTTGAGATGGGTAAGTTTAAGCTTATTTCTGGGATTGAATGAGGGACATAGTGCAGAATATATATAGTAGGTGGAGGATTAACAGTAGAGGATTAACAGTAACAACAAAGCATACATGAGTGGGATAACATAGGTATGTGTTGACAACAAAGAGATGATGCTGTCACAACACGATGGACAGAGAACACATAGATGGAAGCCAATAGGGACATGAAGCCAATAAACAGGATAAGTGATTATTGTTTGCACTACGTCCCTCATTCAGTCTTGCTTGACAACGGTATAAGGATCTATACCGAAACGTCGCTTTTCACAGTATTAAAGAAGTTGTTATCCATAAAAAACATTGTGTCTATCTTGTCATCCGTCAACTTCTAAGTAATGCCTATCAAACAAGTTAAAAGCCTAAACATGGCCGACGATGTCTGTTCGTCGATCATCCAGTGATAAAATCTTCTTCTTCTTCTTCCAGTGCGGCCTCCGACATGACATCAGCATTTGTTATTTAGCTGCGGGATGTTTGGGCCATTAAACCATTGGCGACACCTGCGTTTATGTTTCTTTGTTGTTTGTTGGTGACGCGACACTTAATTAGGCCTAACCATAATCTAGCTATATGACGTTTTGTTTGTTGTTTAATCTCATTAAAATCAGATCTTAAAATCTAAGGTCTGATTGTAATGAGATTGGTTTGTTTTTTAACGTTGTAAATCAGCAATATTCCAGTGAGTGATTGAGTTGGGCTTTTGCACTATTCACTTGAGTGAGTGAGTGAGTGAGTGAGTGAGTGAGTGAGTGAGTGAGTAAGTATGGTTTTACGCCGCTTTTAGCAATAATCCAGCACTGTCACGACGGGTGACACCAGCAATGGGCGTCACACATTGTACCCATGTAGGGATTCGTTTAAAATTGAAACACTGTTGAACCACCGCCCCCAATATTCCAGCTATATGAGAACATCCTTTAAACAATCGAATCCAGACAATCCAGTGACTGACATCATGAGCATCGACCTCCGCTATTGGGATACGACAAGACGATATGCGTCACTGTTCAGCGATCGAGTCTTACCACCCGATCATTTTCGACAGGAGAAATTTGCTGGTGAGATTTACGGAGGCTAATGTAATGTGTGTTCATATGTTTTTATAGTTGACTTATAATGTACTCTTTATTAACATTTGAGTTATATATTTCTGTTAGATACTATAATAATAGGAAAACCCGTCGCGGCGATTTCACATGAGTAACCTCCCTTCCCTGACAGTGATGGCGGCTGTTTACCATGTGAATGTCTCATTTTGAGTAGAACCGACAAAAAAGTGCTTTTTCGTCAATATCAGGTGAGGCGTTTCTTGAGATCATTACACACCTTCAAGATAGGAAACATAGCTATAATCTGACGACATTTTTAACGTAAATAATTCGATTTTGTGGATTTTATTGCAGATATCGAGAAACCCCATTTTGTCGACAGAGGCAGCGCACTGGTTAACCACGTGCTGATTCCCGCGCTATTTTGTTGAATCAAAACTACAAACATATCTTAGTTGTCATCGAGGGATCTGCCTTGCAGCATGGATATGGCGACTTTACATCTAGAAGATGGGTCATCGTACCGCGGCCACCTGTTTGGAGCAGCTGTTAGTGTTCCAGGAGAAGTCGGTAAGATGTTTACTCGTTGTCGGATGTTGGCCTTGACGCGAGTAATAGACTGTGTCAAGTCTCTTAATGTTTTTCACGACTTGTCAGTCTCTTTATCTGTTTGTGTTTGATTTTCGTTTCTCGATAGTGCGGCTGTCATTGATTGGAATTTGAGTTTTCATATGTGTGAAATGAAAAAATATCATGTTCGTCTACAGCAGTAGTCCTAAAGCGAACCCCTTTAATCTGGACACTGCTGTCAATGGACATTTCGTTTATATAGGCTCTTCTTCTCGAAGATTGCTGTTGAGAGTGCCTTTACTAATAGACATGGATATAGAAGACTATACCAATTATATTTGTTAAACCGGAAACTTACTTTATGTGCAATTTGTAATGTAGACAGCATACATTAATTATTTTTATCCATTCAAATTGACAAAATATCAAGATCTTATTTGGTTTTGTTCTAACTACTCTAATACTTTGATAAGTCATATACTTTTATAGGGGAAAAGGCATATTCATGTAAGTGGAAACAAAGGAACCAAACCAAAAATAGATGTACTTTTAAAACTACTTAAAATCATACATTTATTCGATAAATATTTTGCTTTAAAAAAGTATGACAAAAACAACTTTAACGAAAAATGGTCTCTTATATTCTCAGCATTTGATTCTTAGCTCTCTGTTGATGCATGCCATGTTTGAGTCTGATTGTTTGTTGCAACCTTTTTGGTTTCAAATGGATACAATGCGAAAACCATTACATTTTTAAGGAGTGTATTCCAAACCATTACATTTTTAAGAAGTCTTATATTATTATATTACTGTATTACTCTTGGAACAAAAATATATTTATAAAAAAAATAAATTATCCAGATAAAGATTTTCATTGCATAGTCATCAATTATTAAATGATACCCTATGGAGAAGAGTATCATTTCAGAGCATAGGGTATCATTTCAAAGTATGAACTTAATTCTTTGCTTGTGCTGGAGTTGGTGGAAATTGCAATCATTATTTATGCTAATATATGTCTTTTGTCTTTTGGTATCATGTTTGTCATTTTTTCCTTTGCATAATTACAAGGATTTCACACTAGTAATGGATGCTATGAGACTGAAACATTGCAATCTTTAAATTAAACTCAGAGACTATTGGTAAAGATTTGAAATTGTACAAAAGGTTGCATTCATAGTTTCCAGTGTCAAACCACATGTCCAGTGTGTGATATTTGGTTATATTTGTGTATAAAAAGAGGTTAATTCAGTATCAAAGGCCCCATGGCCAAGAGTACAATACATGAAATGAAACTTTTGACCATGGACAGGTGGGACAAATGCTATACTATCTCATTTCAATAATTATAATGCATTAAACATGCAGATATCATTTCAAATATAACCGTATTCGACGTAATAAGCGCCCATGGCGAGATTTGCTAATATATTGGCTCGTGAACAATACCAATTAGCTCACTTTCCGATTGATCAATGTACACAATACTTATTTATTCGCGTATAATACGCACTCGTGTGTTATATGCACCCTTAATTATGGGCAATTAAATTCTGGAAAAATATATCTCTCGTATATCAACATTTCAGGCTGTCAGCATAAACCACGAAATTTATCTTTCAATGCTGTTAAGAGCTCCCTATTTCTAATTTTGAGAGCGCCCTGGGTGCTTATTACATCGAATATGTCAGCAATATTGCTAAAGTTGCTTTGTTGCTAATAGTTATTTGAATCTTGTTCATGATGGATTTATGTTTGTTTATTTGTTGTTAAATGTTGCACTCAGTAGTCAGCGGTCTGTAAGTAATCGAGTCTGGCCTGGACGATCCAGTGATTGACGTCATGAGCATTGATCTACGCAACTGATATTCAATGACATGCATCAACAGAATTAGCGAGCCTGACCACCCGATGCCGTTAGTCGACTTTTACGGCAAGCATGGGTTTCTGAAGACCTATTCTAACAGGATTGCTACTTGTATTTACGAGGGGTGTCACTAAAAGGAAATGGTATTCATCTTCTATTGTATTATGGTTATATCCAGGGCTCGATTAAGCTGTATAAGACATATGCACTAGTGCAACCTACTGTTGAAAAATGCAACCTAGTATGAAAGTCTACATGCACCAAATACATGTCAGTTTTTCTTGTGTCTGACTAACCCTGTCTTGTCCAAACAACATCGACCTTTCAACACACTAAATATTTCTAATCTCTATTTTAGTATTAAACATACCACATCACTCACCCCTGTGTAAACCTGTGAAGATCCGGGGTAGAATACCCATGCTTGCTGTGAAGGGCGACTATGCTTGTCTTAAGGGGCGGCTAATGGGATCAGGTGGTCAGACTTGCTGACTTAATTCATGCATGTCATCATACACAATTGTGAAGATAGATGCTCATGATGTCAATCACTGGACTGTCTTGACCAGACTCGATTATTAAGAGACTGCCCTCATATAGCTGGACATTGCTGTGAGTGGCGTTCAAGAACAAACAAACAAACAAACATCCCATGCGGCCTGGTATCTCAGTGGGCTAGCACTATATCGGCATCAGTCCGGACTAGTACAAGCAGCAAAACACACACACACGTGCATGCATGTCGCTATATTAGTGCAATTATTTTGGACATGACGTTAAACCCCATTTCACCACACCTCACCTTTAACGTCCACATGTTCCTTTAGAACGTGACGTCACATTCTCCATCAGGTAGCAATAACTGATCAGAGTTCCTCTCACAAATTAGTATGATTTGATAAGACTGGTTTGGTTAGAATCACATTTTTCAATTCAGTGCAGTTTGAAGCTTTGTTGGCGGGTATGGGCATTTATCATAATAGAGATGACATATATTTCACCATGTTCACTAGATTATCGAGGATGGTTTAAAGCAATTTATTGTTATTCTTGTGACAATCTCATTAAAATCAGACCTAAGTTCTCACTACCGCTCAACAAAGATTTGAAGACCTCCCATTAGGGGTCACGTCAGAACGACCTTTCGTCCGACCAATGAGAACGTCGCTTACCAGATCATGAAAGTGACAGTCGGAATGTGATTTCTAATTATACAACCTCGAAAACTTTAACACGGGGTATTCCAAACGATAGTTACAGGTTTAACGACTGATTCCATACAATCTAGACCATCTATTAGCCATTCCAGAATGTTCTTTTGTTTAGGTTTCAAATTTGTAATCGAGAATTTGAGAAAATATGTTTCGAAGCATAGTCGCCAATTTGAAATTAGTGCTGTAAAGCACGAGAAAGCTGCCTTCTGATTGGTCATTCTATTGGTCGGTCAAAGTTCGCGCAAGGTCGGTCTGACGTGACCTCTCCTGGGATGTCCTCAGATCTATGTTTAGTGGTAGCGAGAACTAAGGTCTGATTTTAATTAGAATGTTCTTGTGATAGAGGGGGCAGGGTTGGCCCAGTCATCTAAGGTGCTGCAATGATCTGTGTAGAGTTGCCTCCCTTGTGTACACCAGAAACCTATGATCGTCTGTTTCGAATGCTGGTTCACCAGGATACTTTATCTAGGAATGCCAGCTCCATGGAGGTGCTCATGGGTTTCACTCAGGCCAAAAAAATAATAGTCTTGGTTCTCAGGCACCACTCGCATCATCATAAAGTCTGACGCACATTTTGTTTTTATTTCCTTTTCCAAAAAAATACAAAAATCCTGTTTAATACTTAAACACAATGCTCAAAAAGAATGGAAAATGGAAACAAAAACGAAACATGCAATGAACTTTATGATGATGTGGGCAGTGCCTGAGAACCAAGACTATTATCTTTTTAGCCTAAAGTGGTAAATGTCTAAGACCTGCATCACTTTGGGCTTTCCTCCCCACTGTCTGAAATAACCGCCTGTCTGTGGCTGGTAACTTTTCTGTCCGGCTTGTATGAAATTTTCCACCACCTGCCCAACCGTCTTGCACATAATTTTAAGCCTACTTACGCATTCAGTTTTATTATAAATCCTTGTAGATTCTCAACTAATTGTTTACATTATTTCAACTGAATCAAGATGTGATATTTCACGATTTAGCAATGTGTATAACGTCTCAATGCAGGCAGGTCCCTTTGAAGATGGGCAGGCAGCATTTATGGGGCACCTGCCTGTCTGACTTGATGGATTTTATAATTATTTCAAACACTGTTCATCCCACAGCAAGCTGACAGGCCGTGATATGACTGGAAAACTGTTCAAGGCAGCGTTAAACCCAACTCACTCACTCACTCTTATTACAGAATGGTGATTTGCATTGTCATTAAACAGGGAAAGACTACATGATTTTAGGGGGAAAAGTTTTTCTCACTGCCAAGTTATAACAGTTATACATGTATTACCAAAGATAAATATAACTTTCAAACTATTAAAGTGCTTTTGGCAGGCAAAATGATTTTTAAAAGTTTTTTTCTTCTTAAATTCAGATGTAACATTTCATTCAAGGAATAGTGTAACATTCTTTCAATTTATTTATCCAATGAAATTCTCATTCTCACTATAATAATAATGGAACATTTTTGATACAAATTTCTGAATTTTTAATGACATTTCCTGCAGACTTGGAGTTTGGCTGTCTGAGCAAGTCTAGATAAACACCTGATTACTTCCCTTCCCGCCACACGTGTACATGCGGGGCATCTTTGTTTTTCAGTGTTCCAGACAGGCATGGTTGGTTACCCAGAATCCCTCACTGACCCATCCTACAAGAAGCAGATATTGGTGCTGACGTACCCACTGATAGGCAATTATGGCATCGCAGATGAAGAAAATGATGAGTTTGGACTGAAGAAATGGTTTGAATCATCAGAGATCCATGTTGCAGCCTTGATAATAGGAGACTTGACCGAGAAGCGGAGTCATTGGGCTGCTGTGAAGTCCTTAGCAACGTGGCTTGAGGAACAGCATATCCCAGCAATATGGGGTAGGTTCTGACGATACGATTCATATTGCATTACTCAAGTCATGATATGATGTGTATCACAATACTCAAGTCCCTACTAAATTTGCTCCATTTTTACAAGTACGGTCAAGTCTTGTTAATCAGACACTTGTTAATCCGACACTAATGATAGGAACCGATTATATCAGTGCTATTTTGCCCCGTTAATCCGACAGTCTCGCACTCCGACTCCAACACACTTAATTTGCAACGAATTACCGAAATCACACATTAATCAGCCTTGTTAAACCTGACACAGTGATCAGCGTACTCCGTGGCCATCTGCCTGCGAGTACACAGCCTGTGTTTTGATGTGAGACGAGTTGGCTGGTAGCTGCATATTACAACGGCTGCAGAGATAAACTTGCTTAACATTTTAATCAGATTCAAGTTCTCGCTATTGCTGAGGACATCCCATTTGTCACGTCACGTCAGAACAACCTTTCGCGAAATATGACAGACCAATGAAATGACTAAGAGGAAGTCAACGTTAGCCACTAAGAAAGCAGCTTTCTTAAACTTTGCCATACCAGTTTCAAACTGGCGACTTCCATTCCAGACTATGCGTTTTAAAGTATTTTGAATAAGTCATACAGTCCGTAACAGTTGTTTTGTGTTAAGCTTTAGAGGTTGCATGGCTAGAAAACATATTCCGCTAACAATGTAACATAACAGTATGAATGTTTCATTTTTTATTTTGTTATTACGTGTTTGTATCGTTATCTATCATGTAGCTCTCCGATTTTCGATCACGAACGTTGATACTACTTACTTTCGTTTATCCGACATACTCGTTAATCCGACATAATCATATGCAACCAACCATGTTGGATTAATGGGACTTGACTGTACTTGCAAACTCTTTAGCAGTCTTGAAATGAAATTTGGTAGATATAAAAACCATGGGTGGTCTGAGGTGTGCAATTACAAAGAGGTGCTGATCCATGATGTATCCACACTATACAGTGTTCTCGCTGGCTTTTGAAACTGCCAGTCTTGGGCCCACTTGCACAAAGCGATCTTAGCGCTATGACTATTGTAAGCCTATGTTAAAAAAGTATGGGAGTTACGATCATCTTAGCGCTAAGATCGCTTTGTGCAAGTGAGCCCTGGTGGACTTTCAACTCAAAAAATTACCAGTCCCCCCTAATTTTTGTTAGTCCTAACTTTCAATAAATATAAAAACATATGAAATTTACCTGGTTTTAATTCCTTCAACATTATGTTTGATGCAATGATGTCATCTCTGCAGTAACATAATTAGATCAACCTGCATTCACACAAATTTGAATATTGCTTATTGCTTAACAAAGATTTTTATAAGGTACTATATTTGCCGCTCCACGGGGACTTGCAGTCACATGAATTCCCGGTCCAAGCCTAATTTCACCGGTAAAAAACTGGTAATCACCGGTAAATGGGAACACTGCTACACCTTAGCTGTGGACTTCCACTGAAGTGGTACATGTCTTCCATTGTTGTGTGCAGAGTTGCGTCCCTTGGGCACAGCGAAAACCTTGGATCTTATAAATCCCGGTTCGCCCTGATTATGTTTGTAGGTTTGTCAGCACCATACCCGTGCTCGTAGGTTTGACCAAAGTGGTTAACGTCTGAGATCTGCATCTCTTCGGGCTTTCCTCCCACATCAAGCTGACCCGTTGAAATACTGTTTAAAGGGACCTGCTCACTCACTCCACTCTCACTCGTGTCCCCCATGCAGCCATAGCTGCCATTTTGTTAACACCATTGTAATACCTTCCAGTCGTCCATCTGAGAAAATTCACATGTAGAGTTATTTTTACAAAGCCCTTTGTTCTCACTGAATATAGAAAGTGCAGGCTTTTATCTGTAATGTTGCTTTTTTCCAGGAGTTGATACAAGAGATCTGACCAAAAAGATCCGAGAAAAAGGCACCATGCTAGGGAAGGTAGGGATAATTTTTGAAGCAAGAGACATTTTTAAGCAGCTCACTTAATATGTTGAATACAGTAATTATGGGGGTTAATTATTTCAGTCTACTTCTTGATTCTTGTTAGTTTAAAAAAAAATATATTTCATCTTTTATTATCAAAGGTAAAATATGGTTGTAATAGCAGTTGTGTTGGTTTAGATGAAGTTTGAGCATGTATTTGGTTCTATTCTTCTGTTCTATTCCGTGAAACTCTAAGGTCGTCGTGGATGGCGAGGATCCAGAATCTGTCTCCTTGCTGGACCCAAATGTCATCAACCTTGTGAAGGAGGTGTCCATCCAGGTGAGACCCATGCCCTCGATACCTGTCTCCCTGAATACCCAGTAACAACTCCTGCTTGTCTCCCCTTGGAGAGTCTGTGGATGAATAAGTCATGCTTGTCTCCCCTTGGAGAGTCTGTGGATGAATAAGTCATGCTTGTCTCCCCTTGGAGAGTCTGTGGATGAATAAGTCATGCTTGTCTCCCCTTGGAGAGTCTGTGGCAAGCTCCTTCCCAGCACGGGACACCTTCGTTACACTCTCGGTAACATCGCTGCCACCAGTGTGGGCACGGCCATTACAAGAATCTTGAAATTTGCCCTCTAATCCCATATGTAGTAACATTTATACTTTTGTTTATGTCTTTGGGAATGCCATCATATTTTATTTTGAAAAGGTTTACGACTGACCATGTTTTCCAGATGAATTTACTTTGTTGTTTTAATAATCAGATTGGTTCGAGATTGCAGACTAACAGAAAATCAACCAATTTCTCTCTTACATTCTTACTATTTCAATTAAAGATGATAGTTTTAATGAAATAGAAATTCAAATTGACAAACAAAGAAAGTAATTTATCAGCGGTAAGTGTATTCGGTGTCACGACAGTTGTCACTTGTTTATAAACATAACGGTCATTCGGTTGCGAGTTCAACTCCAAGCATGTTTGGGGGCCACCTATCACAGTGGGGAGTTTTAACTGGTGGCAGCAATTGTATATAGAGCTCCGCGAACGGGCTATGGCTGTGAGGAGCTTGAGTCTGTGAATGAATAAGTCATGCTTGATTTACTTAGATAGTCTGAGGCAGAATGTGTCCCCAGATACTAATCCATGGTTACCACCACCACCACCCATCCCCATTGTTTTTATACATCATGTTTCAGAAGCCTATGTGTGTAATAACAGGTTTTATCATATACCTGTCTGTGATATGAGGCATTTTGCACAATCTCATTAAAATTAGATTTTAGTTAACGCTACCGCTAAACAGCAAAGGTCTAATTTTAAAAAGATTGCATTTTGCATGTGCGATAGAGCCAACATAGAGACAGTCATATCACAGTGGTGTAATAAGCAGACCCGTATTCCACCCCTGCCGGGCTGTTATGGTTTGTCAATACATTTTGAATGGGCGATTGATATTAGCCCAGGTGGTAAGAAATTGGAGTTATGTCCCTTGTTAAGTTACCTGCTGGGCTGGCGTTTCCCATGACAATGTCTTCCAAACAAGCTGAAAATGTATTGCATTCACTTGCAAATAGACACATTGTAAAATTTGATGATATGGTATATGAAAACTGCCATACAATGACCTCTAAATACTTTCACTTTTCAGAAGCCTGTGGTGTGTAACAACATGATATACTTTCACTTTGCAGAAGCCTGTGGTGTGTAATAACATGATGAACTTTCACTTTGCAGAAGCCTGTGGTGTGTAATAATATGATGAACTTTCACTTTGTAGAAGCCTGTGGTGTGTAATGATATGATATACTGTCACTTTGTAGAAGCCTGTGGTGTGTAATAACATGATATACTTTCACTTTGCAGAAGCCTGTGGTGTATAATGAATCAGGAGATGTGAAGATCATGGCTGTGGACTGTGGCATCAAGTACAACCAGATTCGCTGCCTGTGCCAGCGTGGGGCTCGGGTCACTGTGGTGCCCTGGGACCACCCCATCAACAGTGCAGGTGAAGATGATGAACTACAGTCATATTTGTTAACTTATTAACCTATCCTGCATTCACTGCTTACCTTTTGACAGAAGTTAAGGTGTGATTGATCCTTCCGAAGAAGGTGAGGTGAGGTGAAATGGGGTTTAACGTCGCGTCGAAGATTATTGCACTTATATAGCGACGTGCATGCACGTGTGTGTGTGTGTGGCTGCTTGTACTAGTCTGGACTGATGCCGATTTATAGTGCTAGCTCACTGAGATACCATGCCGCAGTTTAACATGAATACCCCACTCACACAGTATACTGACTCCGAGCCGACCAGTCTTTGTTTTAGCCCCTTAATGCCGAGCGCCAGACAGGGTAACAAGAAGTATCATCTTTTAACGTCTTTTGGTATGACGCGGTCAGGGATCGAACCCCGGACCTTCCGCTCCCTGGGCGGACGCTCTACTCTTCATATCATTGTTTGTCATCATGCAAAACACATGCTGCTATTTGGTCCTCAATTTTCGCTGTTTCCTGTTCTTGCGGCTTTCAATACTTCTGTCTAAACACCAATATCCTATTCTGTCACAAACAGGAGTAGGGTAGCCTAGTTGTATCTCATTAAACTGAAGAGTGCAAGCAGCCCCACACACACATGCATTTATGTTGCTGTGAAAGTGCAATAACCTTGATCATGATGTTAAACTCTATATAAGCTCACTTCACCTCACCTCATCGAACTGACGAACCAGGTCCAAATTCTCTCATGGGTACAATGTATGCACCCGTCCTTGGTTCAGGGTAGTCACTTGCTGTTGACTCTTGTTCAGATAGGTTTTGAGGCAAAAAGTTCCTTCAACAGAAACTTGATAATTGTGACCGAATATCCTCGCTTACATTTTGACTTGTAATAATATTTTTTCAGTGTTTTGGAGGTTGGTCCTGAGTGATGTGACAAGAAGCATTGGTTGCTTCAAATTTAGTTAAAGCTTACCTTTAGCAAGGCTGTCTGAGACAAATCTCATGTAACCATATCTTTTACTCTGATACACCTCCATGGCTCATCGTGGCTGGTGAACTTTCTCGCATCTTGACACAGAGCTGGAGAGATCTCGTACAATGGTGGCTGAATAGGCTGTGAAGGATGTACAGTACACCCTTAACAGTTGGCAAGTTTTCAGTACACTACTTTCATGCTTGCAGGCTGCATATGAACCAAAGACACCACCAGCAGTATATTTCCCAAACATGAAACATACTCCATACACTCTGCATGTCAAAGCCTCTCAAGACTGGGTTCTGAGATCAGAGACGTTCCAGGTTCCAGCTGATTTTGTTTAGCGATTTGTAAGCATGGATGAGTCTAGTGTGCACCACTATCAACCATATTATCATTCTGAGATTAAAAAACAGTCGTAGTGGAAACATCCAAGGTGTCCAGTGAGATAGGCATACCCCGTTCCATCAGCTGGCAAGGGGAAAGCTTTGGTTTTCTGGGATTCCAAAGGAAACCTGCTGGTGGACCACCCACAAATAGGTCAGACCATTGGTGGCTGATATTGTGCTGATCTACTAAGGCACTGCATGACAATGTCAAGGCCAAATGTCCTGGAAACCTCAATTAAGGTATGTTGTTCCACAAGGACAGCGAGCCAATGCCTGAGTCTGTTGTCGCCATAGCTGCAATGCATGACTGTGGCTTATAACTCATTGGTCTTTGGCACCGTCAAACATTGGCATCCAAACTTGAGAACACAAGTGCCTGGCAAGCGTTATGCAAATGATGATGACATAAATTCTGCCGTGGAGAAATCCAGGAGGAATCCTTCTTCACAAGTGGGATCAAGACACTCCAGCATTGTTGGCAAATTGTGTGGACCTTGGAGGGGATTATGTTGTAACATAGTTTGCAACCATTCATCAAGGAAATTAATCAGTCAGGTTCAGTTAGTTAGCCATCCCTCGTGATGGAGTAAAAGATCAGATTTCAATGAGAACCTGCAATGTTTCTGTGTTTCAGTTTCAATGAGAACCTGCAATGTTTCTGTGTTTCATATTTCAGTGAGAACCTGCAATGTTTCTGTGTTTCAGTTTCAGTGAGAACCTGCAATGTTTCGGTGTTTCAGATATCAGTGAGAACCTGCAATGTTTCTGTGTTTCAGTTTCAGTGAGAACCTGCAATGTTTCTGTGTTTCAGATTTCAGTGAGAACCTGCAATATTTCTGTGTTTCAGTTTCAGTGAGAACCTGCAATGTTTCTGTGTTTCAGTAAGAACCTGCAATGTTTCTGTGTTTCAGTGAGAACCTGCAATGTTTCTGTGTTTCAGTTTCAGTGAGAACTGCAATGTTTCTGTGTTTCAGTTTTAGTGAGAACTGCAATGTTTCTGTGTTTCAGTTTCAGTGAGAACTGCAATGTTTCTGTGTTTCAGTTTCAGTGAGAACTGCAATGTTTCTGTGTTTCAGACTATGATGGTTTGTTCCTAAGTAACGGACCGGGTGACCCAACACTGTGTGGTGCAACAATCTCCAATGTCAGGCGTGTTCTCACTGAATCCAATTTCAAGCCAGTGTTTGGCATCTGTCTTGGCCACCAGCTCCTTTCCCTTGCCATCGGCGCCAAGACGTTCAAGATGAAGTAAGTATAAGTGGGAAACATGTGTTTATTTCTTGCCATCAGAGACACAACTCTCAAGGTGAAGGGAGTATCATGTACGGCTAGGACGGGTAGCTCGGGTACCACTGTCGGGTGGGGCCTGAGTTGGATCTTGGTACCCGGCACCCGGCACCCGGCACCCGTGGTTACTCACCTGATATTTTGTTTAATGACAATAACAATGAAATTCCATGGTTACACTGCAAGTTGATAATGTTTGCATTTTTTTCTGACTAAGCACCAAATCCTTCTGCCTTTTATATCTTTGAATAAAGATAAAGTTTCAGTCAAATTCAGAATGTGCATGAATAGATCGTTTTATACGTATGTCGAAATAATTTTTGCCAGGACTGACAATACCCAATTGGACATTTTGTACCCAACTCGTAAGACCTACAGCGGGTACCCAGGTAGGGTTGGGTAATAGGGGGTCGGGTACCCAGTTAGGGTAGGGTAATGGGGGTAGGGTACCCGGGTAGGGTCAGGTAATAGGGGGTCAGGTACCCGGGTAGTAAATTTGTCGTCTCGGCCCTAGTATCATAGTTCATTATTGGCGCCCAAAATATGGTATCTTTGAAGTGACGTTTGTCCCTTGCAATATTGCTACCATAATAGGGGTGTTGGGGTAGCCTAGTGGTTAAAGCGTCCGCTCATCACGACGAAGACTCAGGTTCAATTCCCCAAATGGGTACAATGCATGAAGCCCATTTCTGGTTTTCCCCGCCATGATCTTGCTGGAATAATGCTTAAAGCGGCGTAAAACCTCACTCACTCACTCACTCACTCACTCACTCACTCACTCACTCACTCACTCACTCACTCACTCACTCACACACTCACTCACTCACTCACTCACTCACTCACTCACTCTACCCATGATAATTTGTTGGATCATGGAAAATGTTCATTATCATCCCATCTCTCCTCAGATATGGTAATCGCGGTCACAACCAGCCCTGCATGTACGCGGACACCATCCGGTGCTTCATCACAACACAGAACCATGGATTTGCTGTCGACCCTGACTCACTCCCCGAAGAGTGGGCGCCATTGTTTACCAACGCTAACGACAAGACAAACGAAGGGATCATCCACACTAACAAGCCCTTCTTTAGGTGCGTAGCTACTGTGTCTGTGTTGTAGTGGATAGAGCATCTACCCAGGAGTGGAAGTGGTTTGATTCCCTGGCCACGTCATATCTAAAGATGTTTTAAGATAGTACTTGTTGTTACCCTGCCTGGTGTTCGGCATGAATAGGATAAGATAAGATCTGGTCAGCTTAGAGTCAGAATAATATGTCTGAGTTGAGTATCGTTGTTAAACTGCACAACCACTGGTCTACAGTGAGTAACTGATCAAAATTACATGATAGACAAATATACCGTATTCAACGTAATAAGCGCCCAGGGCGCTCTCAAAATAAGAATTAGGGGGCTCTTATTAGAATATTATTTTGGTGGAAAAAAGAGAGTTGAAAGATAAATTTCGTGGTTTATGCTGACACACTGAAATGTTTATATGCGACAGATACATTTTTCCAGAATGTAATTGCCCATAATTAAGAATGCATATGACACACGACTGCATATTATATGCGAATAAGTAAGTCTTGTGTACATCGTCAATAGGAAGGAGTGCTAATTGGGATTGTTCACTAGCCAATATATTAGCAAATATCGCCGTGGGCGCTTATTAGAGCGGGGCGCTTATTACGTCGAATACGGTACTTTTATGAAGCAAGTTTTGGCAGTGTAGTTTAACAGTTTATACTGTGTATATATCAGCTTTACCTTGTAATTGAAGGGCCAGCATTTCTCAAAATAATAATCTTGTATTCTAGGAATATATTGTGTGTATTTTCAATCCCTCTTGACAACACTTTCCCTGTGTCTTTCAATTGGACAACATTATCTCTACCAGACCTAAATCAGAGCTACCTTCAACAACTGAACAACAAATCAGTTCACTGAACAAAGGAAAGTCTTGGGGATATGCTTTGTTGGGAGATGAAGGAAGATTAGCAAACTATACGTAGTGATCCCTAATTGATGGGCTGGACTTGTCTGTTACAGTGTACAGTTCCACCCAGAACACATGGCGGGCCCACAGGACCTGGAGGTGTTGTTTGACGTGTTCCTGGAGCAGGTCAAGGCCCACAGGCAGGGCGAGGTCAGGTCAGTATATGAAGGTCAAGTTCACAGGCAGGGCTAGGTCAGGTCAGTATATGGAGGTCAAGGCCACATAATGGTGAGGTCAAGGTCACAGGTAGGTGAGATCAGGTCACTGTATGGAGGTGAAGGTCAATAGAGAGTAAATCAGGTCAGTGTGGAACTATTGTGCATTCTATCAACATGTTGATGCTTATAAAGCAGATTTTTTGCAGTTACCTTTATATTTTTAAATCTTACTTGTATATCTTACCCTATATATCCCTGGAGAATATACATTACGGACTACTATTCAGTAAACACAGCTGGGGTTGCAAATGGTAAGTCTTGTGGCAAGATCTACCCCATTTTTACGGGATTTTTTTGTCTGGCTCCAGCCCAACGGTGAGAGAGAGGTTGTCTATGAAGCTAAAGAGTCCAGGAATCACACTGCATGTCCAGCAGACAAAGTCCAGGCCCAAGAAGGTGCTCATCCTCGGGTCCGGGGGATTGTCCATTGGCCAGGCAGGAGAGTTCGACTACTCAGGATCTCAGGTAGGGATCATCCAGGGCTGGTGGGAAGGCAGTTCTGATCCTGGTGTCGGGTGGGGTTTGAGGGGGTGGGGGTAAGGAGTCAGGTTCTGATCCTGGTTCTAGGGGGTGGGGTTTGAGGGGGTGGAGGTAAGGAGTCAGGTTCTGATCCTGGTTCTAGGGGGTGAGGTGTGAGGGGGTGGGGGTAAGGAGTCTAGTTCTGATCCTGGTTCTAGGGGGTGAGGTGTGAGGGGGTGGGGGTAAGGAGTCTAGTTCTGATCCTGGTTCTAGGGGGTGAGGTGTGAGGGGGTGGGGGTAAGGAGTCTAGTTCTGATCCTGGTTCCAGGGGGTGAGGTGTGAGGGGGTGGGGGTAAGGAGTCTAGTTCTGATCCTGGTTCTAGGGGGTGGGGTGTGAGGGGGTGGAGTGTGAGGGGGTGGAGGTAAGGAGTCAGGTTCTGATCCTGGTTCTAGGGGGTGAGGTGTGAGGGGGTGGGGGTAAGGAGTCTAGTTCTGATCCTGGTTCCAGGGGGTGAGGTGTGAGGGGGTGGGGGTAAGGAGTCAGGTTCTGATCCTGGTTCTAGGGGGTGAGGTGTGAGGGGGTGGGGGTAAGGAGTCTAGTTCTGATCCTGGTTCCAGGGGGTGAGGTGTGAGGGGGTGGGGGTAAGGAGTCTAGTTCTGATCCTAGTTCCAGGGGGTGAGGTGTGAGGGGGTGGGGGTAAGGAGTCAGGTTCTGATCCTGGTTCTAGGGGGTGAGGTGTGAGGGGGTGGGGGTAAGGAGTCTAGTTCTGATCCTGGTTCTAGGGGGTGAGGTGTGAGGGGGTGGGGGTAAGGAGTCTAGTCACACTGGACAGATCCCCTCTAGGGATGGCCAACTTGAAAGCATCCCCAGGACACAGGAGATGTGTTGTGGTCATGGTGTTAGGAGAGTTTAAGTCGTGTGTTCATCAGTCATGCATGTATAAGCTCTCTCCTATCTGTGCAGGCCATCAAGGCTCTGAAGGAGGAGGGCATCCAGACCGTCCTTGTCAACCCCAACATTGCCACTGTCCAGACGTCCAAGGGCCTGGCCGACAAAGTATACTTCCTGCCCATAACCCCAGAATATGTATCCCAGGTAAGGGAAGCACTATATCGACTCTGTATAGATCTAACACGGACCTTGTATTGACCATGCGTAGATCTTACACAGACCTTGTATTGACTCTGTATAGATCTTACACGGACCTTGTATTGACCATGCGTAGATCTTACACAGACCTTGTATTGACTATGTATAGATCTTACACGGACCTTGTATTGACTCTGTATAGATCTTACTCGGACCTTGTATTGACTATGTATAGATCTTACATGGACCTTGTATTGACTATGTATAGATCTTACACAGACCTTGTATTGACTATGTATAGATCTTACACGGACCTTGTAGTGACTATGTATAGATCTTACACGGACCTTGTATTGACTCTGTATAGATCTAACACGGACCTTGTATTGACCATGCGTAGATCTTACACAGACCTTGTATTGACTCTGTATAGATCTTACACGGACCTTGTATTGACCATGCGTAGATCTCACACAGACCTTGTATTGACTCTGTATAGATCTTACACGGACCTTGTATTGACTATGTATAGATCTTACACGGACCTTGTATTGACTCTGTATAGATCTTACTCGGACCTTGTATTGACTCTGTATAGATCTTACACAGACCTTGTATTGACTATGTATAGATCTTACACGGACCTTGTATTGACTATGTATAGATCTTACACAGACCTTGTAGTGACTTTGTATAGATCTTACACGGACCTTGTATTGACTATGTATAGATCTTACACGGACCTTGTATTGACTATGTATAGATCTTACACGGACCTTGTATTGACTATGTATAGATCTTACACGGACCTTGTATTGACTATGTATAGACCTTACAAGGACCTTGTATTGACTATGTATAGATCTTACACAAACCTTGTAGTGACTATGTATAGATCTTACACAGACCTTGTATTGACTATGTATAGATCTTACACGGACCTTGTAGTGACTATGTATAGATCTTACACGGACCTTGTAGTGACTATGTATAGATCTTACACAAACCTTGTATTGACTATGTATAGATCTTACATAAACCTTGTATTGACTATGTATAGATCTTACACAGACCTTGTATTGACTATGTATAGATCTTACACGGACCTTGTATTGACTCTGTATAGATCTTACACAGACCTTGTATTGACAATGTATAGATCTTACACGGACCTTGTATTGACTATGTATAGATCTTACACAAACCTTGTATTGACTATGTATAGATCTTACACGGACCTTGTATTGACTATGTATAGATCTTACACAAACCTTGTAGTGACTATGTATAGATCTTGCACAGTCCTTGTGGTGACTATGTATAGATCTTACTCGGACCTTGTAGTGACTATGTATAGATCTTACACAAACCTTGTATTGACAATGTATAGATCTTACACAGAACTTGTATTGACAATGTATAGATCTTACACAGACCTTGTATTGACAATGTATAGATCTTACACGGACCTTGTATTGACTATGTATAGATCTTACATGGACCTTGTATTGACAATGTATAGATCTTACACAGACCTTGTATTGACAATGTATAGATCTTACACAGACCTTGTATTGACAATGTATAGATCTTACATGGACCTTGTATTGACTATGTATAGATCTTACATGGACCTTGTATTGACTATGTATAGATCTTACATGGACCTTGTATTGACTATGTATAGATCTTACACAGACCTTGTATTGACAATGTATAGATCTTACACAGACCTTGTATTGACAATGTATAGATCTTACAAAGACCTTGTATTGACAATGTATAGATCTTACACGGACCTTGTATTGACTATGTATAGATCTTACATGGACCTTGTATTGACTATGTATAGATCTTACACAAACCTTGTATTGACTATGTATAGATCTTACACAGACCTTGTATTGACTATGTATAGATCTTACACGGACCTTGTATTGACTATGTATAGATCTTACACGGACCTTGTATTGACTATGTATAGATCTTACATGGACCTTGTATTGACTATGTATAGATCTTACATGGACCTTGTATTGACTATGTATAGATCTTACACGGACCTTGTATTGATTCTGTATAGATCTTACACGCAGCTTGTATTGACAATGTATAGATCTTACACAGACCTTGTATTGACTATGTATAGATCTTACACAGACCTTGTATTGACTATGGATAGATCTTACACAGACCTTGTATTGACTATGTATAGATCTTACACAAACCTTGTAGTGACCATGTATAGATCTTACACAGACCTTGTATTGACTATGTATAGATCTTACACGGACCTTGTATTGACTATGTATAGATCTTACACGGACCTTGTAGTGACTATGTATAGATCTTACACGGACCTTGTATTGACTATGTATAGATCTTACACGGACCTTGTATTGACTATGTATAGATCTTACACGGACCTTGTAGTGACTATGTATAGATCTTACACGGACCTTGTATTGACTATGTATAGATCTTACACAGACCTTGTAGTGACTTTGTATAGATCTTACACGGACCTTGTATTGACTCTGTATAGATCTTACATGGACCTTGTATTGACTATGTATAGATCTTACACGGCTCTTGTATTGACTATGTATAGATCTTACATGGACCTTGTATTGACTATGTATAGATCTTACACGGACCTTGTATCGACTCTGTATAGATCTTACACGGACCTTGTATTGACTTTGTATAGATCTTACACAGACCTTGTAGTGACCATGCGTAGATCTTACACAGACCTTGTATTGACCATGTACAGATCTTGTATGGACAATGTCTGAACTTTGTATGGGACTTGTATTGAACTCGCAAGGATCTTAGTTGGAACTTGTATCAAGCTTGTATGGGTCTTGCATGGACCCTGTATGAACTGAGTGTTACTCTGTGAACTGTGTGAAGACCATAATTATCTCCCACTTTGTCTACAAGGGGCAAGGCTGGTGTTGGTGTGGCTGCCGGTTGGTCACTGAGTAGGATAACACACTCACTGTGGGTGAAGCTCATTCTCTACCCAACTGATAGATTGTTTGACAAGTGCTAGAAGCGGTGCTTAACTCACAACTCTATGGTGTGCGGGAACCTGCCATTTTATGCAACACTAGCACTGCATATTGTCAATGTATAAACGTTTCAGCTGTAACACTTGCTTTTATGTGGATTTTGAGTTTTTGATGAAATTAATAAAAACCTACCTGGTGATTACGCTGACAATGTTCTGATGTTCCCTGCAGGTTATAAAGAGTGAGAGGCCAGATGGGATCCTGCTGACGTTTGGTGGGCAGACGGCACTGAATTGTGGGATACAACTGACCAATCGGGGCGTACTGGAGAAGTACAATGTCAGGGTGTTGGGCACGCAGGTGTCGTCAATCGAGTGGACAGAGGACAGGAAGCTATTTGCCGAGAAGATGGCGGAGATTAAGGAACATGTGGCCCCTAGTGAGGCCGCCTACACCGTCGACCAGGTGAGGGGGTCGTGTCATGTGAAGGTGTTGACCAGGTGAGGCGGTCGTGTCATGTGGTGGTGAGGGGGTCGTGTCATGTTGTGGTGAGGGGGTCATGTCGCGTGAAGGGGCCAACCAGGTGAGGGGGGGCGTCTCGTGTGAAAGGGTCGACCAGGTGAGGGGTCGTATCGTGTGAGGGGGTCCACCAGATGAGGGGGTTAATTCGTGTGAGGGGGTCATCTTGTGTGAGGGGGTCGTCTTGTGTGAAGGGGGCTGACCAGGTGAGGGGGTCGTCTCGTGTGAAGGTGTCCACCAGGTGAGGCGGTCGTCTTGTGTCAGGGGGTCAACCAGGTCAGGGGGTTGTCCAGGTCAGGGGGATGACCAGGTGAGGGGGTCATCTCATGTGAAGGGGTCGACCAGGTGAGGGGGTCGTCAAGGTCAGGGGGATGACTAGGTCAGGTGGTCGTCTCATGTGAAGGGGTCGTCGACCAGGTGAGGCGGTCGTCTCATGTGAGGGGGTCGACCAGGTGAGGCGGTCGTCTTGTGTCAGGGGGTCAACCAGGTGAGGGGATTGTCCAGGTCAGGGGGATGACCAGGTGAGGTGGTCGTCTTGTGTCAGGGGGTCGACCGGTGAGGGGGGTCGTCAAGGTCAGGGGGATGACTAGGTCAGGTGGTCGTCTCGTGTGAAGGGGTCGTCGACCAGGTGAGGGGGTTGTCTCGTGTGAAGGGGTCAACCAGGTGAGGCGGTCGTCTCATGTGAGGGGGATGACCAGGTGAGGGGGTCGTCTTGTGTGAAGGGGTTGACCAGGTGAGGAGGTCGTCTTGTGTGAAGGGGTTGACCAGGTGAGGTGGTCGTCTTGTGTGAAGTGGTCGACCAGGTGAGGCGGTCGTCTTGTGTGAAGGGGTTGACCTGGTGAGGGGGTCGTCCAGGTCAGGGGGATGACTAGGTCAGGTGGTCGTCTCATGTGAAGGGGTCGTCGACCAGGTAATGGGGTCGTCTTGTGTGAAGGGGTTGACCAGGTCAGGGGGTCATCTCGTGTGAGGGGGTCTACCAGGTGAGGGGGTCGTCTCGTATGAAGGGATCCACCAGGTCAGGGGGTCGACCAGGTCAGGGGGTCGTCTCGTGTGAGGGGGTCGACCAGGTGAGGGGGTTGTCTCGTGTGAGGGGGTCGACCAGGTCAGGGGGTCGTCTTGTGTCAGGGGGTCAACCAGGTGAGGGGGTCGTCTTGTGTCAGGGGGTCAACCAGGTGAGGGGGTCGTCTTGTGTCAGGGGGTCAACCAGGTGAGGGGGTCGTCTTGTGTCAGGGGGATGACCAGGTGAGGGGGTCGTCTTGTGTCAGGGGGTCAACCAGGTGAGGGGGTTGTCTCGTGTGAGGGGGTCGACCAGGTGAGGGGGTCTTCTCATGTGAGGGGGTCGACCAGGTCAGGGGGTCGTCTTGTGTCAGGGGGTCAACCAGGTGAGGGGGTCGTCTTGTGTCAGGGGGTCAACCAGGTGAGGGGGTCTTCTTGTGTCAGGGGGATGACCAGGTGAGGGGGTCGTCTTGTGTCAGGGGGTCAACCAGGTGAGGGGGTTGTCTCGTGTGAGGGGGTCGACCAGGTCAGGGGGTCTTCTCATGTGAGGGGGTCGACCAGGTCAGGGGGTCGTCTTGTGTCAGGGGGATGACCAGGTGAGGGGGTCGTCTTGTGTCAGGGGGTCGACCAGGTCAGGGGGTCGTCTGGTGCGAGGGGGTCGACCAGGTCAGGGGGTCGTCTCGTGTGAGGGGGTCGACCAGGTCAGGGGGTCGTCTCGTGTGAGGGGGTCGACCAGGTCAGGGGGTCGTCTCATGTGAGGGGGTCGACCAGGTCAGGGGGTCGTCTCGTGTGAGGGGGTCGACCAGGTCAGGGGGTCATCTCGTGTGAGGGGGTCTACCAGGTCAGGGGGTCGTCTTGTGTCATGGGGTCACCTTCAGGGAGAGCATATCCCTAAATCTCAGATGTCAAATTGTTGACTCCCTCAAAGAGATTCATAGATGGCCAAGTTATTATTTCTGAAAAAAAAGATATTAGCATTAGTTAAATTAAGTTAAATTAAGTTTATACTGAAACTGTTTGAAAACGCATGTTTACATTTTTGTAATATTTGAAAAAATGGCTTCAAAAATCAACTTAATTTAGGTATGAGATAACAAGACACATCAATGTCATTTTGTCACAGTAGTGATTGTTTGTCATGTGAGTAAATATTTATGGCTAAAATTGTTTTCTTGTCCTTGTTAAAGTTGGTTATGCTTTTTCATTGTCTGTATATAATTATGTGATGTAGCAATCATTTGAAACATACAAAAAGAAGGCAATTATTTTTTATAAGTTTAGCATGATATATGTATCAGAAGAAATGACAATGAATCTGAAAATGAAAATGTTTCTGTGAAAATTGATTATACTTTGGTGTTTGGAAAATAACGGTTGAAGATTTCCAATCATTCCATACAGGTTGTTCAAGCAGCGGAAACCTTGGGTTATCCTGTACTGATCCGAGCAGCGTTTGCCCTTGGTGGGCTTGGGTCTGGGTTCGCAGCCAACAAGGAAGAGCTGCTGGTGCTGGCTAATGCCATCTTTGCTCACACCAGCCAGGTGCTGATAGACAAGTCCCTGAAGGGGTGGAAGGAAGTGGAGTATGAGGTCGTCAGAGATGCGTACGACAACTGCATCACGGTGAGTGAAGGTCGTCAATCACCTCGATGCCACACCATTATGCTGGGCCGATATTCTGTGTCACTTCACCATCAATGCAGGGTCAATATTCTCAGTCAGCTTGCCATTAATGCTGCGCCAAAGTTCTGTCACTCGTAATATTGTTGTACCATGGTTAAATGATAGAGGAAGTGTTCATCCGTGGCTATTTCCAAACTTATCAGGGTTGGTAGCCAAGTGGTTGAAGCGTCATGTTGAACGACATGGGTGCAATATGTGAAACTCATTTTCTGGGTTCCCCTGCCATGATAGTGCTTGATTACCAAAACCAAACCCATACTCCCTGATTTGCTCACTACGAGCAGATCTCGCATTCTTTTTGTGTCTGGTGATGGAGGTGAATGAGGCAAATTTATTGAAAGATAAGCTATCATTGCTCTTTAACTTGGAAATGTACTTGAATGATGTGGTTAAAGTTATGCTTGATTAGTGCTTGCATGTGTTGAAGTTATATTTGCTTCTGGTCATCCAGAATTGACATGTCAGTGTGCTGTAGGTGTGTAACATGGAGAATGTGGACCCGCTGGGCATCCATACCGGGGAGTCCATAGTTGTTGCTCCCAGTCAGACTCTCACCAACGCTGAATACAACCTGCTCCGAACAACAGCCATCAAGGTCATCCGCCATCTTCGGGTGGTTGGGGAGTGTAATATCCAGTATGCCCTCAACCCGCACTCACAGCAGGTAGGTCAAGGTCACTTGGCAGGTAGGTCAAGGCCACTTGGCAGGTAGGCCAAGGTCACTCGGCAGGTAGGCCAAGGTCACTCGGCAGGTAGGTCAAGGTCACTCGGCAGGTAGGTCAAGGTCACTCGGCAGGTAGGCCAAGGTCAATCGGCTGGTAGGTCAAGGTCAATCGGCAGGTAGGTCAAGGTCACTCAGCAGGTAGGCCAAGGTCAATCAGCTGGTAGGTCACCAAACATTTGGAATGGTTGTGTTTTTCCCTGCCTGGTGCTGGAATATTGCTGAGTGCGGCGTTAAAGAACAAACAAACAAACTCCAGTGGATTTAGAACTTGTAGACATGTCTAATGTGATTACACATAATATTAGATAGTCAGTCAATATTAGGGTGGTCTGTTACCTGGGAGGCTGGTCGTTGGGTGGCTTTGACTGAAAAATACTGATGGCTTTAGACCAGATTCACATGTAAGTTGAATAGTTTCGTATGTCCCTCACATGACAAGAATTAACTTCTACATTAAGATGTGACAGATCATTACTTTGACACAAATTGTTGGTTTTAGATAAACATAAATGAAACAATTATGTTTCAGTATTACATCATTGAGGTGAATGCCCGACTGTCCCGTAGCTCTGCTCTTGCCAGTAAGGCCACTGGGTACCCCCTCGCTTACATCGCTGCCAAGCTGTCGCTGGGAATCCCCCTCCCCGAGCTGAAGAACTCTGTCACCAACTCCACCACAGCGTGCTTCGAGCCCAGTCTCGACTACTGTGTCGTCAAGATTCCTCGCTGGGATCTGCGCAAGTTCTCCAGGGTGTCAACCAAGGTGAGAAAAGATATTGTTGAGAGGTCATGAAGATGCACGATGTTGTCGCCATGGGTTAACACTTAATATGGACAAAATGGAGGTTTCAAGGATCAAGTGTAGATACTACAGGGTAGAGAGAAAGAAGAAGAAAAATATTTTATTCAAGTGTCGCATACTGAATTGAACATAGAAAAGACTACAGCACAGTTTCGAACAGCATGCGGTTATTAGGCCTATGTGATTCGAAGATACTTTAAGACAGTAATAAAAGTTAGCTGACGTCTGATATTTCTCTAGTCATTAAAATATATAGCATAGGCAAACACCACCATTGACATGGACACTGACTGTAATTCTGAAGCCTGTCTACAGAGCTGCTGTGAAGTCTTTGTAATGACACAATGGGTGTTGGAAGTCACGCACCATGTCTTCAGAGCAAGTAGATTCTGATGTCTATAAAGTGAGCATAAACGCTTTTTGTTTGTATTAAAAAGCTGTGTTCAATGTGTGCCCAGTTTGTTGGTTGTGGGGGAAAACTTAGTAGTGTTCATCCTCATCACTTGAAGAAAACAATTAAAAAATCCTTCCTCCCTCCTCACTTTTGAGATGAGTTTTTTTAATCCAGCGTACATTGTTCATGCTAAGTGTGTACTGTGGTTGATTAAAACATGGGGCATAATAGTGTAATGGAGATATTTGAGCTGTTATGACAAGGAAGATTCTTTTCATTTATACGTGATGTGTAAAGAGGATACGTTGTGACTGTACCCTTCTGTTTGTAGGACCCGTGAACATCCGGGTTAGAATTGGTATTTAGCAACCATTGCTTGCCGTAAAGGCGACTATGCTTGTCATGGTCGGGTGATGAGGCTTGCTGACTTGGTTGATGCATGTCATCGAATCAGTTGCGTGATTGATGCTCATGATATCAATCACTGGATTGTCTGGTCCCGACTTGATTATTTACAGACCGCCGTTATAGAGCTGGTATATTGTTGAGTGAGGCGCTAAACAACAAACAAACAAACAAACAAACAATCTGTGTGTAGATCGGTGATGTGTCAAGAGGTAGTGATGTGACCGTACCCATCTGTTTGTAGATCGGCAGCTCCATGAAGAGTGTGGGGGAGGTCATGGCCATTGGCCGCAAGTTCGAGGAGGCGGTGCAGAAGGCCCTCCGGATGATGGACGGAAGCGTGCTGGGCTTCGATCCGTATCTCAAGACTGTGTGTGAAAATGTAAGCTATTCAGTCAACTCACAATGGAGGAATCTCAGTGGGTGTTCAGTTGAATGTGTTACACCATTTTGAGATTCTGGTTAGAATATAGGCCTTCAGCAACCTGTGCCTGTGTTGTGAGATGTGGTGTAATGGATCAGGAGTCCAGACCTGGTAATGTGGTTAATAGGATGTCAGCGTATCCTGATCATGTGGATCTTTCCTCATAGTATCAATTACTGGTCTGTCTGATCTACCGTCGTATTGCTGTGGCTTGAAACAACAAACAAGATGACATTGTTTGATACTGAGGCAAGGAGGGTGAAATAATCTAAACAACTACCCTGTCCATTTGAGGTCTTAGTACTGAGGCATGGAGAATAGGATGAGACTCCTGAGTGTATGATACTGACTCTCACTGTTTTCAGGAGCTCCGTGAGCCCACAGACGAGCGCATCTTCGTCCTGTCCGCAGCTCTGAAGCAGGGATACAGCATAGAACGTTTGTATGAGCTGACCAAGATTGACCACTGGTTCCTGCAAAAGTTCAAACACATCACAGACCACATCACCACCATGGAGAAGTATAGGGGGAAGGTAGGTCATTCAGGGTCAAGATGGGTCTTTCATGGGGAAGATAGGTCATTCAGGGTCAAGATGGGTCTTTCGTGGGGAAGGTAGGTCATTCAGGGTCAAGATGGGTCTTTCGTGGGGAAGGTAGGTCATTCAGGGGCAAGATGGGTCTTTCGTGGGGAAGGTAGGTCATTCAGGGGCAAGACAGTCTTTCATGGGGAAGATAGGTCATTCAGGGGCAAGACAATCTTTCATAGGGAAGGTAGGTCATTCAGGGGCAAGACGGTCTTTCATAGGGAAGGTAGGTCATTCAGGGGCAAGACGATCTTTCATGGGGAAGGTAGGTCATTCAGGGTCAAGACGATCTTTCATAGGGAAGGTAGGTCATTCAGGGGCAAGACGATCTTTCATGGGGAAGGTAGGTCATTCAGGGGCAAGACGATCTTTCATAGGGAAGGTAGGTCATTCAGGGGCAGGATGGGTCTTTCATAGGGAAGGTAGGTCATTCAGGGGCAAGATGGGTCTTTCATGTGGAAGGCAGGTCATTCAGGGGCAAGATGGGTCTTTCGTGGGGAAGGTAGGTCATTCAGGGGCAAGAAGGGTCTTTCATGGGGATTGTAGGTCGTTCAGGGGCAAGATCGATCTTTCGTGGGGAAGGTAGGTCATTCAGGGTCAAGATGGGTCTTTCATGTGGAAGGCAGGTCATTCAGGGGCAAGATGGGTCTTTCGTGGGGAAGGTAGGTCATTCAGGGGCAAGAAGGGTCTTTCATGGGGATTGTAGGTCGTTCAGGGGCAAGATCGGTCTTTCGTGGGGAAGGTAGGTCATTCAGGGTCAAGATGGGTCTTTCGTGGGGAAGGTAGGTCATTCAGGGTCAAGATGGGTCTTTCCTGGGGAAGGTAGGTCGTCTTGGTGAAGGTAGGTCATTCTTGGTGCAGATAGGTCATTCAAGGGGAAGGTACGCCATTCAGGGGGAAGGTAGGTTGTTAGGGGGAATAGTTTGTTCAAGGGTATGGTAGGCCAGCCATGGGTAAGCTATGCCATTCAGGGTGAAGGTAAGCTGTTCGGGGTGAATGTAAGCTGATTTGGGGAGAGGTAGGTCATTGAAGGGTAAGGTAGGTCATTCAGTGTGAAGCTAGGCTGTTCGGGGGGTATGTAGGCTGTTCAGATGGAAGGTAGGTCATTCATGGGAAAGGTAGGATGTTAAGGGGAAGGGTAAGCAACTCAGGTGAAGATAGGTCATTTAGAGGAAGGTAGGTTGTTTAGGGGAGTGTATATTTTCTAATAAGATTTGTAAGATTAAATAACTTCTGACTTATGACTTATGACTAATGTTGTTTGATATTCAACTCTTGCACTTACATATGTTCCAGGCAAGTACTGTCCCCAGGGAGACTTTGCTATGTGCCAAACAGCTTGGCTTCTCCGATGAACAGATTGCTGTAGCCATAGAGAGGTTTGTTGCTAATTGTTAGTCATAGATCAGTTGTAGACATTGACTAGTTAAACACTGACTAGTTTACATGGTTAAGCATGAACGAGTTAAATATTGAACAATTAAACATGGCCTGTGAATGAACACGGACTTGTTGAAAGGATTAATTAAACAGGATTATTATATGTTACAATCTTTATAAGGCTAGAAGTATTATCGGATGCTATAAGAATCAATAGAACTGTGCAACATTTTGCTTTGTTATTCCTCTGTTAAGAATTTTGCAATTCCTTTGGTTAATCCGTAAAGTGACGAAACGAAACATTTCAATGTAGACCCCGAAGTCATGTGACTGACACTGACCTCGAATATTGAGTCGTCACATGATCAATATTGACCTGTTACCATCTAGTTAAACACCAATGGGGTTGCTTGCTATGCAAGGCTACAAAATGGATCAGGTGGTCAATCTCGATGAATTGGTTGATTGCGTGTCGTGGCACAGTAACCCATGCAGATCCAGGTTAGTATAGGTCTTCAGCAACCCATGATTGTCGCAAGAGGCGACTATGCTTGTCGTAAGAGGTGACAAACAGGAACGGGTGGTCAGGCTCGCTGACTGAATTCCTTTGGTTAATCCGTACCACGTGACGAAACAAAACATTTCAATGTAGACCCCGAAGTCATGTGACTGACCGTGACCTCGATTATTGAGTCGTCACATGATCAATATTGACCTGTCACATGATGAATATTGACTCGTCTCCTAGAAAACAAGATGGCGCCTGGTACAAACATTTCACGGTTCGCAGCTAAGTTACTGTAATGAAACAGAGCATTGTTTAATGACTTAAACTTACTGTGGACTTCGGTATAACAAAACTAATGATTACTCTTGAGGAGGTAAATATGTGAAAACCAGCACCCTCTGCGTCTGACCGGACTTCGGCCTGTGGCCTCGGTCTGGACAAACCACCTCAAGGGTTGGGTCCTTGGATCCTTGTGTTCACATATTGACTTTGTAAAGAGTAATAATTTGTATAGTGTGAAGAATATGGTAAGTTTTTTCTGTAGACTTTTGGAATCCTTGGTGATACCGAAAACTGTGAACAATAACAACTAGGTGTGGGTTTGCAAGATGGAAAGCATTTTGCTGAATTAAACTTGTTTCTATTATCTAAAACTGACATGACTGTAACTTGTATCAAAATGGGAAATATATTATTCATCTCTATTTCTTTCAGCACGGAGCTTGCAGTGCGTAAACATCGTGAGTCTTTAGACATTACACCGTGGATCAAGCAGATCGATACAGTGGCTGCGGAGTGGCCTGCTCAGACAAACTACCTTTACCTGACCTACAGTGGCCAGAGCCATGACCTTGACTTCCCTGGGGGCTACATCCTTGTTGTCGGCTCCGGCGTGTACCGCATCGGCAGCAGCGTTGAGTTTGACTGGTGCGCTGTCAACTGCATCAGGGAGCTTCGCTCTGTAAGTGAGGCAGAGTTTACGAGTTGTCATTGATCCAAATAATGGGGTGTTATATGGTGTTCTTACAGCTGAAAGGGTCATTGTATGCTTCACACTAGTGGATGGGCAAAGGGGACCCAGATTGGAATAGTTGGGACCCAGGTTGGAATAGTTGGGACCCAGGTTGGAATAGTGGGGACCCAGGTTGGAATAGTGGGGACCCAGGGTTGAATAGTGGGAACCCAGTTTGGATTAGTTGGGACCCAGGTTGGAATAGTTGGGACCCAGGTTGGAATAGTGGGAACCCGGGGTGGAATAGTGGGGACCAAGGGTGGAATAGTGGGGACCCAGGGTGAAATAGTGGGGACCAAGGGTGGAATGGTGGGAACCCAGGTTGGAATGGTGGCAACCCAGTTTGGAATAGTGGGGACCCAGGTTTGATTAGTGGGGACCCAGGTTGGAATAGTGGAGACCAAGGTTGGAATAGTGGGGACACAGGGTGGAATGGTGGGGACACAGAGTGGAATAGTGGAGACCCAATTTGGAATAGTGGGGATCCAGGACGGAATAGTTGGACTCCTGGGTTGGAATAGTGGAGACCTAGGGTGAAATAGTGGGGACCTAAGATGGAATAGTGGAGGCTAAGGTTTGAATAGTGGAGGCTAAGGTTTGAATAGTGGAGTCCCAGGTTGAAAAAGGTCCCCAGTACTGTACTGCTTATCATGAGAGGTGATTAAGTTGGGTTGTGTGATAATACTGTGTGACTTGGTTGATGTACCCTGACAGCGTGCGACATGGCTCGTTTCGACCAGTGGTGTGCCTGGCCCAGACTTTATTATTTACAGGCCACTGAAATATTGCAGCATCTTAACACCACACTACATAGTTGCTAGTTTATCGATCAGCCCCATATCTACATGGTGGTGCATGTTACAGATGGGGTACAAAACAATAATGGTCAACTACAACCCAGAGACGGTCAGCACGGACTACGACATGTGTGACCGCCTCTACTTCGATGAAATATCCTTCGAGGTAAGCTCCGATTAAAATACTGACATCAATTCATGGATTATTGGATAAAGGAGAAAATGTTGATCGTCTTGCATATTGTGCAGTAACAACATTGGTGGTAGGGAATCTTTGGGTATAATGTAGCAGAGAAATGAAAATAAAGTGACTCCAAAAGGCTTGGTCAAATTATGTTAGTTGTCACATGATCAATATTTACTTCGTCTGCTACAAAACAACATGGCATCTGTGAGTGGCAATACACAGTCCGCTGATCTTTCTTTCAAAGAATGAAATTTATCCGTGAATTTCAGCCTCGGTCCAGTCTGACCACCTCAATAGTCTGAATAAGGGTCCTTTTTTTGCATAAAGACCTCATCAAGAGTACGAATGTTTTGTATAATTTCAATCAGTGTTTCCCTGTCGACTATTTCAGACTGTGATGGACATCTACAACCTCGAGAACCCTGAGGGGATCATCTTGTCCATGGGCGGTCAGCTGCCCAACAACATCGCCATGGGGCTGCACAGACAGCAGGTACACATATACGTCTCGGAGTCCAGGCTGTGCTCTGCAGGGATCGTGTTTGCATGGGCTTGAAAAGAATTTGAAGTTTGAGTTCTCTCTGAAATATTTCTGTCTTAGTTATTAATAATTTGTTGAAATATGTAAACAATTTGGAAATGATCTATGGGTGGTAACCAGAGTTATCCCCCTTTCAATGACCATCTGCCAAACAAATTAAACAGAAGGCCCAAATCATACCATGCTTTCATATGCAATGCAAATGTAAGTATGGTGTTTGCTTTGTGTCAAGTGTGTGACATGATTTAAGGCAAAATTAGTGAAATTGGGAAATAAATAGGGAAATTGTCCAAGGTATGTTTGGGTGAAGGAACACAAATCTTGGTTGTCAAGCTTTGATATTGCATGGCCTCAAATTTGTGAAGGTTTTCAAAAGAACTTGGGGTAATGGGTTATCCTTGGGTTAATATTGACAGGTGTTGGCACAATGTGTGAAGCCCATTCTTGCTGTTCACTTGCTGTGAAATGATGAATATTGCTAATAGCGCTATAAAACCAAACTTCACTCACTTCCTGTCCCCAAATGTATTTGGACAAATTATTTTTGAATATATTTTGGTCACTATCTCAAAATAATAAGCAGAAGAGTGCTAGATTCGGAACACTTGCAGCAATATATGTCGATCACTTCAATTTCATTGGTGTAGGTAGGTCATGTGATTTTTGTGTTTTCTAGGCTCGGATCCTTGGCACTTCTCCAGAAAGTATCGACAATGCTGAGAATCGTTTCAAGTTCTCCCGTATGCTGGACAACATGGGGATCAGTCAGCCGATGTGGAAGGAACTCTCCACTGTGGAGGTACATACAGTAGCCTTTAGTCTGAAGCCGAATTCTGGTAATATGTTGTCAGCTAATAAGAATGCATATACTAACGCTAAAATCTGCTGAAATTATGCGAAGAGACAAGTATGGGCTAGAAAACTCAAAAAATGGTACTCCTTGTTGCACTGCTTGGCACTCAGCATTACAAGGAGTACCATTTCTTAATGTCGAACCAGCAACATTCTGCTCTCTGAGCAGGGAGAGTCCTTGGATGGGTGACCGTGTTTCGGCAGTTTGGCTCCTGAGAGTAGTGTCTCCTTTTGCAAGTGACTTTGTTCGAAATGCGCCTCTGGTCACCCAGCAGTGAATAGGTACTCGTTAGAATGAGATGGCTATGTGGTTGTTAACCTTCTAGTACTTAACAGGCAGCTTGGGTTGTGTACTCCCCAGGGAGCTGAGAATGATTACACACTTATCCAGTGACCAGGATTTGAGCCCCCCTGTTGCCATATTGAATGTAATTTTGGCCCATTCCTCAATCATCTGTGCTTGTATTGGTATGGAATTTTTTCCGTAAACTATTGCTAATTTGACACATTCTTGTTTACAATTAAATTGGATCTTTTTGATCTGATGTTGCCAGTTTTCCAGAAATATTCAGGTGATCTCCATGCTCTGTTGTTATCCCCCGCCGCGCGAAAGCGCAAAGCGGGGGATATAGTATTCACGACCGTCCGTACGTACGTCCGTACGTCCGTACGTCCGTCAGTACGTCCCACCTGTTTGTTGCCGCGATATCTCAAGAACTAAACACTGGATTGTCTTCATATTTGGAACTATGGTGTATATACAGACTCCGCAGACACCAGTCGGTTTTGGTGACCTTGATCCCATTTTCAAGGTCACAGCAGACAAATCTGCTTTTAGAGTTGGAAAACGGTGTTGCCGCGATATCTCAAGAACTAAACACTGGATTGTCTTCATATTTGGAACTATGGTGTATATACAGACTCTGCAGACACCAGTCGGTTTTGGTGACCTTGATCCCATTTTCAAGGTCACAGCAGACAAATCTGCTTTTAGAGTTGGAAAACGGTGTTGCCGCGATATCTCAAGAACTAAACACTGGATTGTCTTCATATTTGGAACTATGGTGTATATACAGACTCCGCAGACACCAGTCGGTTTTGGTGACCTTGATCCCATTTTAAAGGTCACAGCAGGCAAATCTGCTTTTGGAGTTGGAAAACGGTGTTGCAGCGATATCTCAAGAACTAAACACTGGATTGTCTTCATATTTGGAACTATGGTGTATATACAGACACCGCAGACACCAGTCGGTTTTGGTGACCTTGACCCCATTGTCAAGGTCACAGCAGGCAAATCTGCTTTTGGAGTTAGAAAACGGTGTTGCCGCGATATCTCAAGAACTAATCGCTGGATTGTCTTCATATTTGGAACTATAGTGTATATACAGACACCGCATACACCTGTCAGATTTGGTGACCTTGACCCCATTTTCAAGGTCACAGCAGGCAAATCTGTTTTTGGAGTTGGAAAACGGTGTTGCCACAATATCTCAAGAACTAATCGCTGGATTGTCTTCATATTTGGTACTATGGTGTACAGGCGGGGGATATTTCGTCACTCTGTGACAAATACTTGTTAAAATTCATATTGTGGTAATTTTGTCAAGCATCAGCTTGTTGGAGATTCAAGTCTTTGTGTGTTGTGTTCCAGAGTGCCAAGAAGTTCTGTGAGGTAGTGAGCTACCCCTGTCTGGTGAGGCCGTCCTACGTGTTGAGTGGTGCAGCCATGAATGTGGCTCACACTCCACAGGACCTGGAGACATTCCTCACACAGGCCAGCGCCGTCTCCAAGGAACATCCAGTTGTCATCTCCAAGTTCATCCTAGAAGCTAAGGTAATGGTAATTTATTATACCCCCGACCTTTTAGGTCGCATGTATATAGTTATACCAAGGTTCTGTCTGTCCGTCCGTCCAAAAACTTTGTCCGTGCGATTTCTCTTAAACTATTCAGTGGATTCATCTCAAACTTAGTACATATAATCTGTGTCATATGGAGGGGTGCAGTCAAAAGAAAAAAAATTGTTTTTATTAATTTTCCATTTTGTTATGAATTTTTCAAACCCTAACCCTATCCATTATTTACAGATTACAGAATCAGCCATGTACCAACAGTGTGACAGCCACTAACTCATATCTTTGCTAAAAAGGCCCTGACATGGTATTGTTTGATAGCTTTACAACTACTCTATATGGACAGACAGATTAGATAGGAATACTCTCATCAAGTCAGGTGGATCACTCTTGTAGGACCTGCTGTAACAATCAGATGATTTGTTCTTTTAAATTTGGTGGGACTGGGGGATTTGTCATCTTCTGATGGCTCTTGGTAATGGTTGTTGTTAGTGATGAGGCCACCTCACAAACATTTGTTGACATCTGTAGATACAGAACTCCCCAGCTAAAGCATCATACAGATGGAGGCATGGAGGCTCAGTTGTCAAGGCGACACATATTCCAGCCCATGGTTGCATCGTTTAGGTGTGCAAGAATCATATGATCAAAGGCTCAAACCTGATTCACCCTTATTTAAGAAATTAACGACTCATGGTCGTTGTTTAACGTAAAATAAATCACTGCAGGGAGGATAAACCCTGAGGGGCACAGCAGTGTTTTATTGTACGATAAACAGACATTCATGGTTTATTCCCCCTGCAGTGTTTTATTGTACGATAAAAAGACCTTCATGGTTTATTCTCCCTGCAGTGTTTTATTGTACGATAAACAGACCTTCATGGTTTATTCCCCCTGCAGTGTTTTATTGTACGATAAAGAGACCTTCATGGTTTATTCTCCTTGCAGTGTTTTATTGTACGATAAACAGACCTTCATGGTTTATTCTCCCTGCAGTGTTTTATTGTACGATAAAAAGACCTTCATGGTTTATTCTCCCTGCAGTGTTTTATTGTACGATAAACAGACCTTCATGGTTTGTTCTCCCTGCAGTGTTTTATTGTACGATAAACAGACCTTCATGGTTTATTCTCCCTGCAGTGTTTTATTGTACGATAAACAGACCTTCATGGTTTATCCTCCCTGCAGTGTTTTATTGTACGATAAACAGACCTTCATGGTTTATTCCCCCTGCAGTGTTTTATTGTACGATAAACAGACCTTCATGGTTTATTCTCCCTGCAGTGTTTTATTGTACGATAAACAGACCTTCATGGTTTATTCCCCCTGCAGTGTTTTATTGTACGATAAACAGACCTTCATGGTTTATTCCCCCTGCAGTGTTTTATTGTAAGATAAACAGACCTTCATGGTTTATTCCCCCTGCAGTGTTTTATTGTACGATAAACAGACCTTCATGGTTTATTCCCCCTTCAGTGTTTTATTGTACGATAAACAGACCTTCATGGTTTATTCTCCCTGCAGTGTTTTATTGTACGATAAACAGACCTTCATGGTTTATTCTCCCTGCAGTGTTTTATTGTACGATAAACAGACCTTCATGGTTTATTCTCCCTGCAGTGTTTTATTGTACGATAACTAGACTTCATGGTTTATTCTCCCTGCAGTGTTTTATTGTATGATAAACAGACCTTCATGGTTTATTCTCCCTGCAGTGTTTTATTGTACGATAAACAGACCTTCATGGTTTATTCTCCATGCAGTGTTTTATTGTACGATAAACAGACCTTCATGGTTTGTTCTCCCTGCAGTGTTTTATTGTACGATAAACAGACCTTCATGGTTTATTCCCCCTGCAGTGTTTTATTGTACGATAAACAGACCTTCATGGTTTATTCCCCCTGCAGTGTTTTATTGTACGATAAACAGACCTTCATGGTTTATTCTCCCTGCAGTGTTTTATTGTACGATAAACAGACCTTCATGGTTTATTCTCCCTGCAGTGTTTTATTGTACGATAACTAGACTTCATGGTTTATTCTCCATGCAGTGTTTTATTGTACGATAAACAGACCTTCATGGTTTATTCTCCATGCGGTGTTTTATTGTATGATAAACAGACCTTCATGGTTTATTCTCCCTGCAGTGTTTTATTGTACGATAAACAGACCTTCATGGTTTATTCTCCCTGCAGTGTTTTATTGTACGATAAACAGACCTTCATGGTTTATTCTCCCTGCAGTGTTTTATTGTACGATAACTAGACTTCATGGTTTATTCTCCCTGCAGTGTTTTATTGTAAGATAAACAGACCTTCATGGTTTATTCTCCCTGCAGTGTTTTATTGTACGATAAACAGACCTTCATGGTTTATTCCCCCTGCAGTGTTTTATTGTACGATAAACAGACCTTCATGGTTTATTCTCCCTGCAGTGTTTTATTGTACGATAAACAGACCTTCATGGTTTATTCTCCCTGCAGTGTTTTATTGTACGATAAACAGACCTTCATGGTTTATTCTCCCTGCAGTGTTTTATTGTACGATAACTAGACTTCATGGTTTATTCCCCCTGCAGTGTTTTATTGTACGATAAACAGACCTTCATGGTTTATTCTCCCTGCAGTGTTTTATTGTACGATAAACAGACCTTCATGGTTTATTCTCCCTGCAGTGTTTTATTGTACGATAAACAGACCTTCATGGTTTGTTCTCCCTGCAGTGTTTTATTGTACGATAAACAGACCTTCATGGTTTATTCCCCCTGCAGTGTTTTATTGTACGATAAACAGACCTTCATGGTTTATCCCCCCTGCAGTGTTTTATTGTACGATAAACAGACCTTCATGGTTTATTCCCCCTGCAGTGTTTTATTGTACGATAAACAGACCTTCATGGTTTATTCTCCCTGCAGTGTTTTATTGTACGATAAACAGACCTTCATGGTTTATTCTCCCTGCAGTGTTTTATTGTACGATAAACAGACCTTCATGGTTTATTCCCCCTGCAGTGTTTTATTGTACGATAAACAGATCTTCATGGTTTATTCTCCCTGCAGTGTTTTATTGTACGATAAACAGACCTTCATGGTTTATTCCCCCTGCAGTGTTTTATTGTACGATAAACAGACCTTCATGGTTTATTCTCCCTGCAGTGTTTTATTGTACGATAAACAGACCTTCATGGTTTATTCTCCCTGCAGTGTTTTATTGTACGATAAACAGACCTTCATGGTTTATTCTCCCTGCAGTGTTTTATTGTACGATAACTAGACTTCATGGTTTATTCCCCCTGCAGTGTTTTATTGTACGATAAACAGACCTTCATGGTTTATTCTCCCTGCAGTGTTTTATTGTACGATAAACAGACCTTCATGGTTTATTCTCCCTGCAGTGTTTTATTGTACGATAAACAGACCTTCATGGTTTGTTCTCCCTGCAGTGTTTTATTGTACGATAAACAGACCTTCATGGTTTATTCCCCCTGCAGTGTTTTATTGTACGATAAACAGACCTTCATGGTTTATCCCCCCTGCAGTGTTTTATTGTACGATAAACAGACCTTCATGGTTTATTCCCCCTGCAGTGTTTTATTGTACGATAAACAGACCTTCATGGTTTATTCTCCCTGCAGTGTTTTATTGTACGATAAACAGACCTTCATGGTTTATTCTCCCTGCAGTGTTTTATTGTACGATAAACAGACCTTCATGGTTTATTCCCCCTGCAGTGTTTTATTGTACGATAAACAGATCTTCATGGTTTATTCTCCCTGCAGTGTTTTATTGTACGATAAACAGACCTTCATGGTTTATTCTCCATGCAGTGTTTTATTGTACGATAAACAGACCTTCATGGTTTATTCCCCCTGCAGTGTTTTATTGTATGATAAACAGACCTTCATGGTTTATTCTCCCTGCAGTGTTTTATTGTACGATAAACAGACCTTCATGGTTTATTCTCCCTGCAGTGTTTTATTGTATGATAACTAGACTTCATGGTTTATTCTCCATGCAGTGTTTTGTTGTACGATAAACAGACCTTCATGGTTTATTCTCCATGCAGTGTTTTATTGTACGATAAACAGACCTTCATGGTTTATTCTCCCTGCAGTGTTTTATTGTACGATAAACAGACCTTCATGGCTTATTCTCCCTCAAGTGTTTTATTGTACGATAAACAGACCTTCATGGTTTATTCTCCCTGCAGTGTTTTATTGTACGATAACTAGACTTCATGGTTTATTCTCCCTGCAGTGTTTTATTGTACGATAAACAGACCGTCATGGTTTATTCTCCCTGCAGTGTTTTATTGTACGATAAACAGACCTTCATGGTTTATTCCCCCTGCAGTGTTTTATTGTACGATAAACAGACCTTCATGGTTTATTCTCCCTGCAGTGTTTTATTGTACGATAAACAGACCTTCATGGTTTATTCCCCCTTCAGTGTTTTATTGTACATACAACGACCACGAGTCATGCGACCAAATGTCATGTGTGTCATATTATGACACCTGGCGTTGCACTGATAAAGTTCCTCCAATAGCTTACGTGTACCATGTCCTACTGTTGGTATAACTGCCAGTCCCTCTCAGAGTACAGTGTTTATCAGTGTTCCAGTTACATCCCCGCGTGTCAGCTTAGTGTAGGAGGAAAGCCCTAAGAGATGCAGGACTCAGACGTTTATAACTATGGTGAAACCCACAAGCACAGATATGGTGCTGTCATACCTAGAAACATTTTCAGGGCGAACTGGGATTCAAACCCATAATAATAGGTTTCTTGCATTCCCAAGGGATGCAACTCTGCAGAGCAAGTTGTGGCACCTTACGATGACTGAGGCACCCCCCACCCACCTCCCAACCCCTCCTCCACTCTCTCAGACGCTTATATGGATATCAGTCACATATATCAGTTGAGTGTCTGCATGGTGTGGAAGCATGAAAAATGTATCATATTCTTGATAAATGTGACAACCTAAACATAACCTGTGCAGGAGATTGACGTCGATGCTGTAGCCTGTGATGGGGAAGTGGTGTGCATGGCGGTGTGTGAACACGTGGAAAATGCAGGCGTACATTCAGGGGACGCAACTCTTGTCACCCCACCTCAGGACTTGAACGATGAAACGTTGGCAAAGATCAAAGGAATCTGCTGTGCTATTGGTCGCGCCCTGGAGGTGACTGGACCATTTAACCTTCAGCTCATTGCCAAGGTAACTACAACGTGATTATTATGTCAGTAACTCATTTGGTTTCATCGTAAGTTGTCAAATAATATCGTCACATATTCTTCATCTTCATCATGAGTTCAACATGTTCACTGGCAGTTCAGAAATATTAATTTAATGTTGTAATGTAAACTTGTTTGTAGAATAAATGTCCATATATTAGTCATGTAATATATTTATGGTAATAAAGTTCATGAAACGTGGCCGTCATATAGCTGGAATATTGCTGAGTGCGGCGTCATAAAACAAACAAACCTAAAGCAGAATAAGTATGTGACTTGATGATGTCATTCTGTTACCAGGACAACCAGCTGAAGGTCATTGAGTGCAATGTGAGAGTCTCACGGTCATTCCCATTTGTGTCCAAAGCATTGGACAAAGATTTGGTTGCCTTGGCAACAAGAGTGATCACTGGGGAAATGGTTGACCCAGAAAACATCCTTCAAGGCTGCGGAAGAGTGGCGGTCAAGGTAGGCAGTAGATAGATATTCACAAAAAATACGTTTGTGCTTTTAACTGCATGATGTACTTGTCTCTACCAATGAAGATCCGAGCTAGAATAGGTCTTTAGCAACCAATGCTTTTTGTAAAAGGTGACTATACTTGCCGTTAGAGGCGACTCACGGGATCGGGTGGTCAGACTCACTAACTTGGTTGATGCATGTCATCGTATCCCAATTGCACGGATCGATGCTTATGATATCAATCACTGGATTATCTGATCCAGACTCGATTATTTCCAGATCGCCGTCATATAGCTGGAATATTGCTGAGTGTGGTGTTATAACAACAAACATACTTACATACTTCTCACATTCATTAACGAGGCACATGTATTGCAGTCCAGAGCTTCAACACGTTCCTTAGCCACTGTAGTCGCAGGGACTTCTAGACCTGCTTATAAGTCTTCAGCAAATGTCTGTGAAAGACCTGAAAATGGAATTTACCAAATTCCTAATTCCTAATATTAAGGTTATACCTGGTGGAAAATCTCAGCAGGAGCGGGCCACCAGATAGCCATCTTTGATGCCCCCCCCAAAAATTAAGAATTTTTTCCTCCAAAAAATAAGTTCTCGGAGACTGAAACTTAGTAAGTGAGATTGTCACCATATGAAACTCAGATCTAAGCGCTTCACATTGATCTGAGGACATTCCATTGTAGGTCATGTCAGAACTTACTTTCATCCGACCAGTCAGAGTGTAGCTTTTGAGATTACGAAAACGAAGGTCCAAATGTGTCTTCCCATCATGCAACCTCGAAAAGTTTAACATGGGGCAATCCTAACAACAGTTACGGGCTGTACAATAAACATTTGAAATGGAGGATACTTTTCTTAGAGCCGATGAGAAGTACTGTCATACAATCTAGGCCATCTATTAGACATTCCAAAATTTTATTTTGTTCAGTTTTCAAATTTTGAATCAAGAATTTTGTCCCAAAGAAATTTCAAACCGTAGTTTCGAATTGAAATCAACATTTTGCAACTAGTTCTGAAAAACACAAGAAAGCTGCTTTCTAATATTGATTTCCTGTTAGTCATTTCATTGGTCAGACCAGCTTCACGAAAGATCGTTCTAACATGACCTGTTGCGAGATGTCCACTGGTCTTTGTGTAGTGCTAAGATCAGATTTCATGAGATTGCTGTGGAGGGAAACCAAAGATTGATCCAACTATTCTATTTTGCCCGATTTGATTAAAAAATTATCAGTCAAAGATCAATTTTAATCTGAAAACTAAAACAATATCTAATCTGTCTGATTAATATTGATCACTGGAACATCACCATAGACCAGCATATTAGTCAAACCATGGACAACCATTAAAGCAGATAATGGAATGTTCTTGCCTTCAGGTGAGTTAGAGCATTGTGGCCAGAGTTTGAGATAAACTGCATACATTTGCGTAAAATAAGCATTAAGTAAACTTAAATACGCAGACAAATCAAATCCATGTGCATCAAAAGCGCAACAGAAACCATAGATACGCTATTGGAATAAAACTAATGCGTATATTACAACGATTAGATACAACGATTGCTTACATTACAACGGTTAGATAAAATGATTGTGTATCGGATGATCGAGAAATTAAATTACCGACAGTTACATTATGAAATGTTTGTGAGACAAACAAACTCAAATACCGATAAATTCCTAGCACATCGTGCCGAGTTAATGCACCTTAAACAGTCACAGATTGGTGATTAATACAATAGCGCCCTTTCTTCAACTGTTTTGTAATAAAAAATGGCTTCCCAGAGAGGGAGCTGCAAGCAGACGCAGACGGATATACTACTACTTATATAGTTTTACATGATTTACAGGGATTGTTACGAAACAGGTAAAATACCCAAATGTCAAGAAACTGAGGGGTAACAATTCTTTTAATACCCTCTGAGAATTGTGGATACCCAATCAAAGTCAAACCTCTGGTTAATATACCCAAATAACCAAAAGGTTATCTAGAGGTGTGGTGGCTCTATGATCTAGTGGACCAGCTTATGTCACACCCTGTTTAACAGAACAACCAGTGAAGCAGGTGACGGAGTGTTGTGGTGTTGTCCCCAGGTGCCGGTGTTCTCCTTCATGCGACTGCAGGGTGCCGACGTGCTCCTGGGGGTGGAGATGGCCAGCACAGGGGAGGTGGCCTGCTTCGGAGAGGACAGGTACGAGGCCTACCTCAAGGCCCAGCTCAGCACAGGCGTGAAGATTCCCAGGAAGAATATCCTTCTGTCAATTGGGAGTTTCAAGGTTTGTCTGCCGACTGTGGTGGAGAGTGTGTTGTTGATGGTGGTGGTGTTGTTATAGTTTAAGGGCGATGTTGGCCAGTGGAAGTCTATTTCTTGTATTGAGCTGTGTTAGCTCCTGTTCGTTCAATTGAAGCGATACCATGTATTTATTGACTATGCTTTATGCTAAAAAAATCTTATTATACAAAATACTGCTTCCCCTTGAGATGGGAGTGAATTATGTTTGGGTGCGCACTATAGTCAAGAAAATATAGTACAAGTTGAGGGGAAGACATGGAGGTTTCTATTCTTCTCTTCTGCCCTTTTGTTCTGTCCTATTGTCCTGTTCAATTGTCCAGCTGTTCTGTTTTTCCTGTCATGGTCTTCTGTTATGATCCAGTCCTATTGTCCTTTCCTGTGGTTTTTCTGTTCTATTCTACTGTTCTATTGTTGTGTTCTACTGTTCTATTATGTTCTATTCTATCCTACTGTGTTCTACTGTTCTGTTGTTGTGTTCTACTGTTGTTCTATTGTGTTCAATTGTTGTGTTCTACTGTTCTATTGTGTTCTACTTTTCTATTGTCGTGTTCTACTGTTCTATTATTGTATTCTACTGTTCTATTGTATTCTACTGTACTATTGTGTTCTATTGTGTTCTTCTGTTCTGTTGTGTTCTACTGTTGTGTTCTACTATTCTTTGTGTTCTATTGTTGTGTTCTACTGTTCTATTGTGTTCTACTTTTCTATTGTTGTGTTCTACTGTTCTATTAGTGTATTCTACTGTTCTATTGTTGTATTCTACTGTACTATTGTGTTATATTGTTGTGTTCTTCTCTTCTGTTGTGTTCTACTGTTGTGTTCTACTATTCTTTTGTGTTCTATTGTTGTGTTCTACTGTTTTATTGTTGTGTTCTACTGTTCTATTGTGTTTTACTGTTCTATTGTTGTGTTCTATTGTACTGCCCTTTGTTCTGTCCTGTTCTACTGTTCTATTGTTCTATTGTTGTGTACTGTCTATTATTGTATTCTTACTGTACTATTGTTCTGTCCATGCTGCCCGCAGTACAAGAACGAGCTGATCCCCACGGTACGGACCCTCACCGAGATGGGCTACAACCTGTTTGCCAGTATGGGAACTGCCGACTTCTACAATGAGCATGGTTTTCAGGTAAGGCTTGAGAAGGTTCTTGGTGGCCACTAACAATGCAGCTCGATATCAGCTGGGACTCACTCACTCACTCACTGGCGTGTCAGCTTGGTAAACATCATCTCTTCCAAAAATTCTGGATTTAGGATTTTTTACATGTATGTTTCTGCTTATGTTGATGTCTTATTTTTTATAATGAGGATTTTGTTGTTATTGTTTTGTTGAAAGTATATCAGAATAAAAATTTCAAAAAACGTTAAAACAATTTTTTTCTGGCACTCAGTTAATCCATGTTGCATAAATGATTCTTTCCATAACTAACGGTAGATTGAAGTGTAAAAACAACAAACTAAATAAATTATGTTCCAAGAAAACAAAATTGATATAATTGTTTATTCTGTTTAAGTGTAAAAATCATTGTAGAAAGGTAGCTACTTGTTTCATTCTCTTTAACTGTTTTTTTAATGCAGAAATTACTTGGATATCAATGCTGACAGCAAAGTTTGTCAAATGGTTGTCCTTGTTGGAATGTTAAATGCTGACTACACACCCAATTGAGCTACAGTGCCACTATTTCTGAAAAAATTTGGATGAAACTCTTAATGAATTGTTGTGGCCTTCTCTCGACCTATCTCTTAAGATGATGTAAGTTTGTGGTTCAACCGAAATCCAAGTTTAGTGTTATATGTGAACTCCATTCAAACTGTGGGTAACTTGTATCATATTGTCCTTGCAACACTTGGTATAAGAACTGTTTATGTCTTTGGCTCTGTTTTAGCTAAATGTGAGAGGGTTTAGGGATTAGCAAGGGATTTGTCAAGACCTTCGCAGAGGCCAACTGATTGTAAAAATTCATACCGGTACATTGGAATTGAAAAAAATTCAATTCATGTTGAGACCGCCTCCGTGGTCTTGTGGTAGAGAGTCCACCTGGAGAGCGGAAGGTCAGGGGTTCAAACCCCGGGCACGTCACACCAAAAGATGTTAAAAGATGGTACTTGTTACCCTGCCTGGCGCTCGTCATTAAGGGGCTGAAACAAGGACTGGTCAGCTCGGAGTCAGTATACTGTGTCGGGGGGTATTCATGTCAAACTGTGGCATGGTTTCTCAGTGGGCTAGAACTATAAATTTAGTCCGGACTAGTACAAGCAGCCACACACACGTCACTATTTAGGTGCAATAATCTTCCGATGCAACATAAAACCCCATTTCACCTCACCTCACTGATGACAAGGCCAGTAAGGAGGAAAAGTCTGTGATCCTTCGTTTTACAAAATTGATTTGAATGCAATGTTAAAATACCTATGTAATTTTGGAAACTAAGAACTTAAACAATCCAAAGTCCAACCGTTACTATTGGTTACTTTGGGTTAAGGTAGTTGCTTGGCCCTAAGAGGACACGGGGGATCTTCATGATGAAACAACTGTTACTATTGGTTACTTTAAGTGAAGGCAGTGGATTGGCTGTACGAGGACACGGGGGATCTTCATGATGAAACAACTGTTACTATTGGTTACTTTAGGTGAAGGCAGTGGATTGGCCGTACGAGGACACGGGGGATCTTCATGATGAAACAACTGTTACTATTGGTTACTTTAGGTGAAGGCAGTGGATTGGCTGTACGAGGACATGGGGGTTCTTCATGATGAAACAACTGTTACTATTGGTTACTTTAGGTGAAGGCAGTGGATTGGCCGTATGAGGACGCGGGGGATCTTCATGATGAAACAACTGTTACTATTGGTTACTTTAGGTGAAGGCAGTGGATTGGCCGTATGAGGACACGGGGGAGAGTAAGAATGGTGCTGAGCAGCGTACTATTGCTGACTATCTGGCGGACAACATGTTCGATTTGGTGATCAACCTGCCGCTACGAAACGGAGGCTCACATCGGGCGTCGACGTTCGTCACCCAGGGTTATAAGACTCGTAGAATGGCTGTGGACTATTCTGTTCCCCTGATCACAGATGTCAAATGTACGAAGCTGTTTGTCGAGGTCAGTAAAGTATCTTGTTTTGACATCTGTCGTTTAATTATCCGTTTTTGTTTTTCTTGACCATTTAGTTGAATGTGTTTGTGTAGGGACCAGTCATGTAAAACGGGGAACGGATGGAGAGGGGATGGATGAAGTTCAGAGCTTGTCATGAGTTTTGGATGACACCATCTTCCTGAGGCAAGGGTGTTAATGCCTCACTCACATTTGCCGCGGCGGCTGTGGGGTCTAAAATATCTACGGACAATAGCAATTATAGGGCTGCCACATTCCCACGGTCACATACTGTAGTAGTCACATATGCTAGGGTAGCCGCACGGCGTATTATGAATTTGTTTTTGACAATTACCAAGGCAGACACAAGGTATCTGCAAGGCGGCCACAGGGGGACCATACGGCTACCAAGCAGCAAGACTGATGCTATGGTGACCGTGCGGCAAGACTGATGCTATTGCTACCATACGGCGACCGTGCGGCAAGACAGACGCTACCGCTACCATATGGCGACCGTGCGTCAAGACAGACGCTACCGCTACCATACGGTGACCGTGCGGCAAGACTGATGCTATTGCTACCATACGGTGACCGTGCGGCAAGACTGATGCTATTGCTACCATACGGCGACCTTGGGGCAAGACGGACGCTACCGCTACCATACGGCGACCGTGCGGCAAGACTGATGCCATTGCTACCATACTGCGACAGTGCGGCAAGACTGATGCTATTGCTACCATACGGCGACCGTGCGGCAAGACTGATGCTATTGCTACCATACTGCGACCTTGGGGCAAGACGGACGCTACCGCTACCATACGGCGACCGTGCGGCAAGACTGATGCCATTGCTACCATAGGGCCACCGTGCGGCAAGACTGATGCTATTGCTACCATACGGCGACTGTGCGGCAAGACTGATGCCACCGCTACCATACGGCGACCGTGCGGCAAGACTGATGCCATTGCTACCATACGGCGACCGTGCGGCAAGACTGATGCTATTGCTACCATACGGCGACTGTGCGGCAAGACGGACGCTACCGCTACCATACGGCGACCTTGGGGCAAGACGGACGCTACCGCTACCATACGACGACCGTTCAGCAAGACTGATGCCACCGCTACCATACGACGACTGTACGGTAAGACTGATGCTACCGCTACCATACGGCGACTGTACGGTAAGACTGATGCCACCGCTACCATACGGCGACTGTACGGTAAGACTGATGCTACCGCTACCATTCGGCGACCGTGCGGCAAGACGGACGCTACCGCTACCATACGGCGACCGTGCGGCAAGACTGATGCAACCGCTACCATACGGCGACCGTGCGGCAAGACTGATGCTACCGCTACCATACGGCGACCGTGCGGCAAGACTGATGCAACCGCTACCATACGGCGACCATACGGCAAGACTGATGCTACGGCGACCGTACGGCAAGACTGATGCTACCGCTACCATACGGCGACCGTACGGCAAGACTGATGCTACCGCTACCATACGGCGACCGTACGGCAAGACTGATGCTACCGCTACCATACGGCGACCGTGCGGCAAGACGGACGCTTCCGCTACCATACGGCGACCGTGCGGCAAGACTGATGCTACCGCTACCATACGGCGACCATGCGGCAAGACTGATGCTACCGCTACTATACGGTGACTGTGCTGCAAGACTGACTCTACCGCTACCATACAGCGACCGTGCGGCAAGACTGATGCAACTGCTACACACCTGGAGTATATAAGGAGGGGTTTGCCACACACATCAGGACATTTCACAAGACATTTCACAAGAAATTTCACAACAGACATTTCATTACAAAGTTTCCCAAAGTTTCCCAAGTTTTGCACCATGCCTCCGCATCTTTTGGGAATATCCGCAAAAGTCAAATGTATTTCATAAGACCCTAGGCAGCCGCACGACAAGCGCAGGGCCACCGTACGCCCGACATATGGTCGTCATGGAACCGCTCTACGGCATGTCTTATTGCTACGGCATAATAAAGTTATATCTCTGTGCTATAACCCCACGGCGACCTCTACAGCCTGTAAAAGATAGGGATACACCCTAGGGCTACCCTAAGGCCACCGCAGATCCTCTGCAGTCGCCACAGGTATCTCTCAATTTTGGGGGGCTGTGGCAAATGTGACTGTGGCATAACTGACTACAAACGTACAGTTTCCACCCTTGCTGAACTAGGCTGGAATTCTTGGGTTACATTTTGGGAAGATGAACTTTTACAGTCAGTTAATTCCCTTGCCATGGGAATATAGGATGACACAACCATATGAAATAAATGTACATGGCCGTGACTCTCCCCAAATGTGTGTATTATTTTATTGGACCCTCCCTAATTCTTTCTGACCCACCCACCCCTTCGGAAAAATGACTGGTCTCGTATTACTATTGAATCAGTGGTATTTACTTTGTTTAGTACAGACTGTTGATGGGTACATGTGTTTCATGTTACTTCAGGCTCTACGGAGGCAGAAGGGGGCACCATCGATGAAGACACATATTGACTGCATCTCATCACAAAGGATTGTTAGACTCCCTGGTCAGTTAGATTAGTTAATACACAACCTGAATTACTTTTCAGAAATCTCATTTTGATGACTATATATATTTTCATACAGTATCAATGTGTGGTCAGTCTGATTAATTGATTCCATACCTTAAAATAAAGGACTTGACCAGTCTCGGGTTTTTTACCATCTGATAATGAATAAAACAGTTCGGAAATGATACGTATAAATATTCTGATTGAAGAAATTCAGGTATTGCATCATATCGTGGAATGTCAGAGAAAAGTCTCGCTTTAATCACAATATTTGTTGTGGATGTCTGCTAGTTTGGAAATATTTGTAGATTATCATTATTTCAAATAATTAGAGAATAACCAACCACTCATGAAGAATTATCTGTCCCGAGTAAATAAATGGTGCAAATCCCAAGCGTTTGGCAAGGGACTTCATTCACCAAGACAGATAATTCAAGTTTCAAGTGGTCTATTCTGTATTCCGATATTACTAATTGAAATTTTTAGAGAGAAAAGGAAGAAAAACGGAATGTAATGTTAATACTTCAGAGAAATTTTACTGAAGGCACACCATTGTTCAGATGATGTATTGTAGTCAATTTGTGACGTCAGGACCAATGGATGACATCATATTTTGCTCAACAATGAAGCTCTTAGAAGTCATGTGGTTCCAGCTGACCAATCAGCATTGAGAATTGCTAAAATACGCATGTGCAAGGATCAGAAAGTTATTACACACGATCATTTTACCTTTATGTATGATATACCACTTAAGTCCTGAATGGGGCGGTCGGGTAGCCTAGTGGTTAAAGCAGTCGTTTGTCACGCCGAAGACCTAGGTTCGAATCCCAACATGGGTACAATGTGTGAAGCCCATTTCTTGTGTTCCCCGCCATGATATTGCTGGAATATTGCTAAAAGTGGCGTAAAACCAAACTCACTCACTAAGTCCTGAATTCGAATGGTAAGAACAGCCACAGACAGGTGCATGCTTGTCACACTAGAGCAATAATCTTGAACGCAACGTTGCACCCCATTTGATCCCCCGCACCATACTTTCACTCAGGTCTCATCGATGTCCACGTGCATGTCCGAGAGCCAGGCGCCACACACAAGGAAGACTGGTCGTCCTGTACAGCTGCAGCCCTGGCAGGGGGGATAACTCTTATTCTTGCCATGCCAAACACAAACCCAGCTACCGTGGACCAGGGGGCCTTTGCCCTGACACAGAAGGTATGTGGCATAAGGTGTATCTATATCATCATCATTGTTGTCGTAGTCGTCGTCGTCATGGTAATAATCATCATCTTAATAATACTACTAATAATAATAATGATAATGTCTATTTATGATGTGCAGTTCCATTCACCAAGTGAATGCTCATAGCGCAACATTCATTATTATCCTGGTGTTTTAGATTCGTGTGCACTAAAATGTGATTCTCAGCTCCCTGGGGAGTATACAACCCAGAGTACTGTAAGGAATCTTTTGGAATGTGTTGGTTCAACCTGTGCTTGATGTATGAGGCAATAAATGGATCAGGTAGTCAGACTCATGGCATGTCAAGGTACACTGATGTCACGGATTGTTGTACTAAAATCAATCATTAATTTGTCTCCGGAACTCAAAAACCATGAGAGAAATCTTCACCAAACTTGGCACAATGATAGGTCTAGTGGTGAACTGGTGCCTGGAAAAGTTTATTTTTTGAGTTTCCACAGCAATGACTTTGACTTAGACTGACAATGGTGGTAGTGCCCGTTTCTGGAGGGCTAATGCCTTGCACACAACCGGACATGTCATTTTGGTGGGGGCTATGAGTATTTCATGCTTGTTACCTTGGTTTAAATGTATGGAAGTACCGATCCGTGTTCAACAGCTGTGTCAGATATTTGTCGTGTACATGTGTTAATTCCAATGCTTTGGTTTGTACGTTTTAGTTGGCACAAGAGAAAGCTCGGTGCGACTACGGCCTGTTTGTTGGTGCCAGTGCGGACAATGCTCAAACCTTGCCGTTGTTTGGTGCAAAGGCCTGTGCCCTCAAGATGTACCTGAACCCAACCTTCACCACACTCCATCTACAGGACATGACGGACTGGATGAAGGTGAGGAGTTACCTCCCCTTGATTCTACAATACCAAGCTCCTTTCCAGCGCGTGACACCTTCGTTACACTCTCGGTAACATTGCTGCCACCAGTGCTGGAACTCAACCAACTTCTCCCTTACATTCTTACTATATCAATGACATGATAGATTAAATGAAATAGAAATTCAAATTGACAAACAAAGAAAGGAATTCCGCAGGGGTAAGTGTATTCGTGATCACGACAGTTTTCACTTGTTTATAAACATAATGGTCATTTGGTTGGGAGTTCAACTCCAAGCATGGTTGTGGCCACCTATCACAGTGGGGAGTTTTGACTGGTGGCAGTGATTGTATAGAGAGCTCTGCAAATGGGCTATCGCTGTGAGGAGTTTGCTACAATACAGGAGTTATCCCCCTTGACTTTACCATATTTCAATAGCAGGCTGCTATCTTTTGCCTTGTACATCGATGAGGGCAGATTCAAGTTCATGATAGATAAGTGCTGAATGCTTTTACCATAAAGAGGGTGGTCGGGTAGCCTAGTGGTTAAAGCGTTCTCTCGTCACGCCGAAGACCTGGCTTCGATTCCCAACATGGGTACAATGTGTGAAGCCCATTTCTGGTGTCCCCCGCCATGATATTGCTGGAATATTGCTAAAAGCGGCGTAAAACCATTTTACCATAAAGAAATACCTGTTCAACCTTATAATCGCTCACATAACAAATATTTTGAGATTTGATGGTCACAAACTCCAGAAACGCTTCCTTTCTTCAAATTCCAAGGATCTAGGTCCCTGACACGGAACATACGTAATAATAATGGGTGCATATTTTTTTATGAATTGAACATGACATTGATCCCGATCCTGAAAGGTTGTTCTGTTTTAGGTACCTGTATAAGCAGGTTTTAAGTACTTTGATATACGTGGTATATGTTGCAGTACTTGATATTGGGGAACTTCATTGATTGATGTATTGCTCCTGTGAGGACCCCACGGGTCAAATATAGCTAGTCTGTGGATCATTTCAGACTTGTGTTTTTGATAAAATAACAAGGTTTTTGGAGAGAAAACAACTTGTCCCCCTACATTTCCACCAGTCTCGGGCCAACAGACAAGTGGACGTGTCTATCCCTGATTGCTATATCTCTAGTTTGCATATTACAGCACTTCGAGCACTGGCCCAAGAACTTCCCCCTGTGTGTCCATGCTGAGGGCACCATGACGGCCTCCGTGCTGCTCCTTGCTGAACTGTACCAGAGATCTGTCCATGTGTGCCACGTAGCTCGCAAGTCAGAGGTAGGCATCACCATTGCAGGTATCACAATGATCGTATATAGTTGCCAATATCATGATTAAGTCGTATGTAGAAGCTGATATCATGATTTAGTCATATGTAGATGCTGATATTATGATTTTGTAGTATATTGATGTCGATATCGTCATCTTGTATATAGCTACCAATATCATGATCTAATAGTGTTTAGTTACAGATATCTTAATTTGGTATTATATAGATAGTGATGTCATGATTTAGTAGTGTAAAGATGCCTGTTTCATGATTTAGTAGTATATATAGCTACCAAATAAGAAGCACATAGTTGCCGATATCATACAGTTGGCTGGTGCAGAGTTGTGTCCCTTGGGCATTTGGCTGTGCAGAGTTGTATCCCTTGGACATTTGGCTGTGTAGAGTTGTATCCCTTGGATATTTGATTGTACAGAGTTGTGTCCCTTGGACATTTGTCTGTGCAGTTGTATCCCTTGGACATTTGGCTGTGCAGAGTTGTGTCCCTTGGACATTTAGCTCCGCAAAGTTGTGTCCCCTGGACATTTGACTGTGCAGAGTTGTGTCCCTTGGACATTTGACTGTGCAGAGTTGTATCCCTTGGACATTTGGCTGTGCAGAGTTGTGTTTCTTGGACATTTAGCTGTGCAGAGTTGTGTCCCTTGGACATTTGGCTGTGCAGAGTTGTGTTCCTTGGACATTTGGCTATGCAGAGTTGTGTCCCTTGGATATTTGACTGTACAGAGTTGTGTCCCTTGGACATTTGACTGTGCAGAGTTGTGTTTCTTGGACATTTGGCTGTGCAGAGTTGTGTCCCTTGGACATTTGGCTGTGCAGTTGTATCCCTTGGACATTTTGCTGTGCAGAGTTGTGTCCCTTGGACATTTGGCTGTGCAGAGTTGTGTCCCTTGGACATTTGGCTGTGCAGAGTTGTGTCCCTTGGATATTTGACTGTACAGAGTTGTGTCCCTTGGACATTTGACTGTACAGAGTTGTGTCCCTTGGACATTTGTCTGTGCAGTTGTGTCCCTTGGACATTTAGCTGCGCAAAGTTGTGTCCCCTGGACATTTGACTGTGCAGAGTTGTGTCCCTTGGACATTTGACTGTGCAGAGTTGTATCCCTTGGACATTTGGCTGTGCAGAGTTGTGTTTCTTGGACATTTAGCTGTGCAGAGTTGTGTTCCTTGGACATTTGGCTATGCAGAGTTGTGTCAATGGATATTTGACTGTACAGAGTTGTGACCCTTGGACATTTGACTGTGCAGAGTTGTATTTCTTGGACATTTGACTGCACAGAGTTGTGTCCCTTGGACATTAGGCTGTGCAGAGTTGTGTCCCTTGGACATTTGGCTGTGCAGAGTTGTGTCCCTTGAATATTTTGACTGTACAGAGTTGTGTCCCTTGGACATTTGACTGTACAGATTTGTGTCCCTTGGACATTTGACTGTGCAGACTTGTATCCCTTGGACATTTGGCTGTGCAGAGTTGTGTCCCTTGAATATTTTGACTGTACAGAGTTGTGTCCCTTGGACATTTGACTGTACAGAGTTGTGTCCCTTGGACATTTGACTGTGCAGACTTGTATCCCTTGGACATTTGGCTGTGCAGAGTTGTATCCCTTGGACATTTGGCTCTGCAGAGTTGTGTGTCTTGGACATTTGGCTGTGCAGAGTTGTGTCCCTTGGACATTTGGCTGTGCAGAGTTGTGTCCCATGGATATTTGACTGTACAGAGATGTATCCCTTGGCCATTTGACTGTGCAGAGGAAGACGTCAAACGAGTGGCTGGCCTTGTGGCTCGTAACACTGAAGTCACATGTGCAGCCCCTTGTTTGTGTCTCAGCATTTTTCATTATCAGATTCTGGGGGGAAATAAATAATGATAATTTATTCTGACGTAAAGCAAGGCTACACTTTATTGATTCATTTCAGATTCAGGTGATCAAGTTGGCAAAAGAGCGCGGACTTCCTGTCACGTGCGAGGTGGCCCCCCATCATCTGTTTCTTACTTCAGACGACCTTGAGAATATAGGGGAAACCCGGGGTCAAGTCAAACCGTGCCTTTGTACAAAGGAAGACCAACTTGCATTGTGGGAAAACATGGATATCATTGATTGCTTTGCGACAGATCATGGTAATTGTTAAGTTGTGTAAATAAATGTAGCGACCGCCTCCGTGGTACAGTGGATGGGATGTCTGACTGATGAACGGAAAGTTGGTGATTTGACTATAAAGGTGGTATTTGTTAATCTGCCCGGCACTCTGCATTGAGGGAGGTAAAACAAGGACTGGCCGACTTGCAGTTCGTATACTGTGTCTGAGTGTGATATCCATTTTTAAACTGTAGCATGATATCTCAGGGGGCTAGCTCTATAAAACTTTCACAAGTCCGAAGTCGTATTAGCAGCCATACACAGACAAGTCCATGCACATATATGCTGTTTGAGTGCAGCAAACTGTAACCCCACTTCACCTCACCTCGTCTCATGATAATGTGAAAAATGGCAGTCGTTCTTTACCACAACTCTTCATGCTGCAAGGAAGGCAGTGATTACTTATATCAAACTTACATACTAAGTATTATATATTGTTGGCGTGGATGGTTCATCAAGCTGACAACACGCCGAAGACCCGGGTTAGATTCCCCACATGGGTACAATGTGTGAAGCCCATTTCTAGTGTCCCCAGAGCTGAGTAAACGGGAGTGTGTCCTAATATTTATTTGTTGAACACGTTTTTAAACAGGATTGGACTTTACACTGACTGTGAATACTTTTCTTGATAAGTAGACTTTTTTTACAAACCCAAATTTGAAAGAAAATGTTCCATTTGTCTTGGCAAAATGTATACCGCATTAATTATATATCAAATTTGATCAATATTTGTCATTAAACTTGGCCTTATTTGTTTTTCTCCATGTTCGTTAACCACATGTATTCAGGATCACACAGGCGTCATCCATAGTATCGTGATATGATAGCTTTACAGACACTGCAAAAAAAATCCATATATACAAGCTTGTATATCCTTTGGAAAGATGATATTTCCAAAGGATATACAAGATTGGAAAGATGATATATACAAAATATACAAGTTTGTATATATGACATATACAAAATATACAAATTTGTATATATGGTGTATCCAAATTTGTTTTGTTTGTATATATTGGTAAAGGGAGATAATTATTATGTATTTGTGTATAATTATGATATATGTGCAAATTGAAGTGTTTTAAGTTGAGCACTGTGTTTCTTTGTATATGTTGGTAAAGGAGGATAATTGCTATGTATTGCTCTATAAATGTTTTGTATGTGCAAAATAGTATCAGCAAGTTACAAAAAACTGATTTAGTGGCGGGTAACATTACTGGATGGTTTAATTAGTACTCCACACTGTTAGCGGGAGTACATACTGTCCTTGCAATGATATTGACGGGTGGGCGGTTGAGGCGTCTGGTACTTTTCCTGGCGCGGTGCTTGGTATGTGAGTAGACTTTATGGTCAAATGCACAGAGGGGATTAGCTGTCGGGGGCGATTGCTTTGGCGGTAACTTCTGTATTGAAAGTGTTTGAGCTTGGATTTGTTTTACGGGGAGGCCGCGATGTGTTTTGTAACATGCTCTCGTGCACATATGCCAACAGAGTGGATTGCACAGAGGATGAAAACTATTTTATCACTACTTAAAAGTGTTGAATTTGGTTTGTTCTGAGCTGTCGGTTTCATTGTAGATATACATTGTTATAATGTGAAATCTCGGCGGAAACGCGGAAAATCGCGTTTTGTAAAACGGTGGTCCTTGGGGAAAATTGTATTATGAGCAACCGGATGCGTAAATAACGTGTGTAATATATTCCCGTATTATATTTTATAATACTTGTTCTTTAAATATTGTGATCAATGCGAGAACGAAGATTACCTTGAAAAAACACAACAGCATGCATATGTTCTAGCAAAAGGAAACTTGATATATATTCATTTGGCTTAATTTCTACTTTGGAAAACTTAGTTGGCGCTCTAAAAGCTTGATGCTGTATAATTTGGCACGCGCATGGTTGGGTGCAAACCATATGTACATCAATAATAATAGTAAAAATAATAATAATAATAATAATAATACATCATGATGGCAGTTTCAATGTAAAGATTAAGTATTTTTAAAGATATGGAAAATAAATCTTGATAACTGCTTTAATCTTTGATCTTTGGGAAAATAATAATGGAATTGGTTGAGTGACTAACGTATTCTACTTTAAAAGTGACAGGAACGTGATTTACATAATTAAAATATAGAATAATATACAAATTATAAGAGAGGGTTTGTGATTTATTTTGGGATGAAGTCAGTATTTAACTTGCGCTTTCTGACATTATGCGTATTTCGCACACGGTTAAGAAAAAAAATGCAATTCATTTATTTATAAAAAGTACGAATGCATCAATCCTACATCACAGGACCATGTACATAATTTGTTGAATGTTATTTCGTGAATACACAAATTGCATAACACATTCCCTGAGGACAAACCCAAATTGCCCGTCCCTTTGTGACAGGTGTTAATTAGAGAATGTATTGCCACCATATTATGTCCCGGCACTTTTATGACATGTAATGAACCTAGTCAATCCCTGGGTCTGTAACAACAACATGGGTCTAATAAAATCAAAGTAACATAAATGTTACGTCATTCGAATTAAAAAAGAGACTGAAAAAATGTAACATGAATATAATTGCCCTTTTGAGGGTAATATAATTTTGGGAAAATATACGTTTTCTTGTATTTATGGACGACTTCACACAAGCTGAAAAATTAAACATATGTTTATATAGCTATATTTACATACATGGCATTAACATGTAATAATAATATTGATCATGTTTGTTAATTTGTACATTTCGTTGTTATTGGTATCCTGAGTATGTTGTAATAATGCATGTGTTCTGATCTTATTTGACGTAGATTACATGAACTAGTAGAGTGACTTTCTTTCATCAGCGTGGAAGGATTACCCACACATATACCCTTAATCCTTTGTCAAACAGAAAGAAGTCATATAGATATCATATCTAACTGGTACTAAAAGTTCACTATCAATCTCCTCTGATAACAAACTTACATTTAATATCCGCAAGCTACAATACCAAGCATGCTCATGGAGTAATTATGAGAAACCCGAATGATATCCTGTCTACGTGGTCACACCCGGTGATTGTTAAGACATTCAGACAATATGGCAATCTGTATTCATTTCTTATATCCCAAAAGTCCCCACCAAGCTTCCTTTTATTAACATTGGGATGAGGGGAGATATACATATTGTATTAAATAATACATCAATACATCAAAACAGAACAAAAAAGATAGGTCAACAGTGCGGTTGATGGAAAGGGGTTTTCTAAGAAAAGTTATTTAACTCTTTAATACTTAATACGTGTCTGAAAGTATGTATTAAGTCTTACTACTAGTTATTATATATGTGCAAATCCACCCGAATGTCGGATGTACATGGCCGATTTCAAAATAGCTAAATTAGGCACTGTTCAAATTGTTTCCAATAAACCACTGATTAGAAACTCACTTAACCTTTAGAATAGAATCGTTTCTAAATATATTGTAGTTGGGGCATGTGTAAAAATTAATGCAGTGTATCATTGTGACAGCCACAAGAGCATGCATGATGTGTTATCTGAGATGTGTTTTTTAAGCCGATGGAAGTTTAAAGTGACAAAATCTGGTATCATGGCTTAACTGAATATAACATTGTCTAAGTTTAATAATCCTCTTTTTCCGGTGACTATTCCAATTATTAATGGTATCAGGTAGGAATGACTTGCATTCAGTTCTACAACGTATAGCCTGTGAATTGGTTAGATTTCTTTATATGTAATCACTAACAGCAAAGATGTTTTCCATCTTGTAAAAAGGTGTAATGGCTACGTTGGTCTCACTCTACATTTTCACGTGGCTTGTACCTCTTATTGGCCAACAAATAGTCCGTAATCAGTGAGTGGGCGAGGTAAAAATTAACGTCTCATCGGCATTATTTCAGCGTCCGTAATGAATTAATGTGTAGACATTCTAGGATTAATTCTTTTTCTTTGGTACAATTATCCAAAACATTGGAGCAAAATATTGGCAATATATATATGCTTGTTCATGACTTATGTAAAAGGGGTTATTTATCTGAGTGATTGAGTATGGTTCACGGCGGTGGACACCAGAAAGGTATTTAAGACAATTAATCATAGGGCTTACCTCGTTAACTCGCCAATATCATAATCTGACTGAAATATTAATACCAAAGTCCTTTCATTTTAAGATTAGGTTTTGCACTTGGGCACACTTTGACGTGATATTGAACAGTTTTCTTTTTCCCTGGATTAAGTTTTACTTGCATTCATTCATTTGGTAATTTTCTCCAAATTGGCATTAATATTTTATGCAGTAGTATTTGGAACTGTCCATTTTGGGAATAGGGTTGACCCCACCGCAAGCACAGTAAACAGAAATTCCAAGGTGAATAATATGTACTATAGTTTGTTGGCTCGACATGCAAGACTCCATAATTTTAGCTATAAATTCATAGTAATATTAAATTAAGTTTTTTTATAAAGCATTCATTGATGTATTTGACATGAGACGTAGCGACACTCATGTATTTTATAATAATGTACAATTTCAATGCCTTAAATCTGTTGCATTAAACAAATTCTTTGATTTGATGTTGTCATATTGTGACTCAATTTGTGTCTAGTCTTCCAAATGTTCTATTGCGAATACATATAGTGTCAGCGCTCATGATCGCCATATCTATGAATGGATGAAAATATCATCATTAATAAACTTACCTGAGCTCAATATGTGTTCTGAAGACAAATCGCTGTAAAGCATCTTGCACGGCTTCGTTCGCGTTCACCCTCAAATGTACGAAAGGAAAATCTGCAACTGTGCGTGTTCAATGTTCGTTTGTATTTTTGTGACAGACGGTCGTTATTTTCATTAAGATTCCACAAATTCATAAATCACAACTGATGTAGCTGCCTTGGTTAACTGGAGTCAGGATATAACTAATTACAAACTCTGTTCTAATTATGCTAATCGAGGAAGTGCATTATACTGGATGACAAACTTA